AAATAATCTAAAAGTTTTCTGATATAGAAATGTCATTTCGGTTCGTATATATATGAATCATCGTTCCAATACTATTATGTGAAAAACGTTTTGTTCGAGAAAGAGAGTGACTTTACGAAAGGCAAAATGCCATTTCCGACAGCAACGCAATACAGTTCAAGGAAAACAGAATAAAAAAAATTTACGAGTGAAAATATGACCTAAGGAGTTACTTGAGTTAGCATGTCACAGACAAGAGGCCGTTTGAATACATCTTCTATAAAGAAATATTGTATCTTTTGCTCTCGGCTCGTGTCGATGTCCCGCAATAAAAGAAATGATACGGTACGACGATTTTACACGAGAAATATGCGTGGCCCGCATGTTGCTTAACCAAAAAAAAAAACGCATACTTTGTTTAGTCTAAAAAACAAAAACAAAAAAATTTCGTCGATCAAATTGATCCGGAACACTGTACATTATTTTCTTCTCGCGTATGCACGAAAAATGTCAGAAACAGATAATTTATGTATAATATATAAATAGTTGGAAAAAAAATCTGATATTTAATTTTCACTAAAATATGAGAAGAATGACTAGAACAGTAACGATGAAAAATGACAATATGGTATATTTATTGAATAGTCATTTAAGAGCTTTTTTCTGTAAATTATTATTAGCACATACGTTGTCATTCAGGCACTTTAATTACACGCACGGTGTGCGACGGACGCTCGATTACTGCGAATTAATTCTAGCATCCCGCATAAGCTGTTTCGTACCAAGTGCGAATTATGTGCGTTTCTGTTCAGGCGCGCAAATATCGCTGTTACGCAACATTATCAAAGTGGTGGCCAGCCATCTCGGCGTTCCTAGACGTCTACACGTGCCAAGACTGAAAAGCAGAGAGGATATTCGTTCGCTTCCCCCGTTGTGAGAAACACCGACTCGCAAAACTTTCTCGCGTTCGACGACGCGCGTATATAAGGCCAGGGGGAAAAGTTTAAAAATAAATTGATCAACGGGCATTTCGTCGACCACCCGGCGGGAATAGATCAGCCAGAGCAAATTGGTTTTTGTCTTTAAGTGACACGCGCGAATCGCAGCGGAGTAATTTACAGCTTGGTATTTATTTGAACCCCCATGGTGAATTCCGGAATCGGGGTGTGATCCGAACGTTGAGGAGACAAGAAGATACATCTATGTAACAGGCAATATCCGCAAGATTGATCTCCAATTTCATCCACATGTCAAAAGAAATTTATAGCACTTTCCATATATTAAGCGTGAAGATTGCACACGTGAGATTTTGTTCTTTCGGAAGGAAAAAGTTCCTTTTTCCTTAGGGGAGAAAGAACGAAAAGAAGAGAGAGAGATCCCCCAATACATTATAGTCGCGTTAAAGGAAACTTTGTGTAAAGCTATGCTTACGTAAAGATGTTAATTTAAAAATAATCAAAAATATATTATAATATATTAATGTACAATTTATATTAATAATATATTATACAAATATATTATTTATATATGTATACAGAATGATGTGAAAGAAAAGATTGTCTTAAACAAGTATATTAAATGCATTAAAAATAAAGGAGGAATATAAACCTTTTGCAATACCAATTTCAACTCTATTCTTTATTTCTTTTATATTGCAATAAAACCATTATTATTATATTACTAATTAAATAAGAATTAGATAAAAAGATAACTAATACTACTTATCTAAAAAATTAATTCTTTTTTACGCAGCTATAAATGTATCGATATACTGAAGAAGAAGGCTTTTCGTTAAAATTTTTTTTATAGATGTTAGGAATGGCAAAGACGGTCATGGCCGTCTCTGTCAGTCTGCAAGGCAAACGGTAGTACGTTGTTGCAAATTGAAACTGAGATGATCGGAAATGCGGAAAACGGTAACCACACATAAAATCGGTCGTGTGGAAATCGAGTGGGCACACCGCAATTGGTGATATGCAGCTGCGTCGCGCATACGCATCCGTAGGATCACTTGGAACGGACGTGAACGTCGCCGATGCGATCAGCCGTTTTGACGACACAATTGGTATTGCACCTTTATGCCTTGACGCGTGTATATGTGCGTGGGTGTGTGCGATACGCACACAAGCGTAAATATACGCATCGCGAAACACGTAATCGCACCCTTATCGGATTCGTCATGGCCGTCGTAAATGAGATTCCTACCCATTTATCCCCGAGATTGTAAAACGTACAACGTAATAATTTAATAATGCAAAACAAGTAGATAAAAGAAATGTTTTATTACACCATCAACTCGCACTATGTGATCACGTTACGATCGTTGGTCTCACAAAATGTGAACTTTTATTTACATGGCGATTGTTCGAACGGTCCCGTCTATGAGCGATTTTATTTACTTTTATTTTCAATCCTTCAAATAATTCGAATATATATGCAGTACGAATATAACTTATATTTTAATCTTTGAATATATCTACGCAATATTTTGCCCTTATATTCACTTATTACCAAATTTTCTTAAATTATATTCTACTAGAATATAATTTAAGATTTTTGTAATAAGAGCGAGTATAAGAGAAGAAATCATTACTTTCGTAATTATGCATTAATCAACGGTGAAGTGATTTATTTGTTATTAGTCTGTTCAGTAATATATAGTTATATAATATTCATTTACCTTTTGCCTGGAAGTAGCCGAAAATCACTAACTAAATTTATTGTTAAATCCACAGGCAAATCTGTAAATAAGTATAATACCAAAATATAAATAATACGTAATTCAAACAGTTTAAAATGTTTGTGATAAGGCTCAATATGTATTAAACAACTAATACAAAGAGATAAGGGCAATGAGCCAATAATTTCGTTAAAATCTTTAAATTAATCTAATATATTGCAAAGAGTATCACGTAATTATGGCTTTTCGTCCCGGCTTCCACTACTGACTCATCAGTAAGGCATTGTAGTGGAAGCCTACCTTAGACGCCTGTTTAAGTTATTAAATCGAGATTCTATATATACAGATATACGCGTATCAAAGCACTTGCGAGAATTTTTGCGAATATCGACGAATAATAACAATCGGATTGAGTAATTCTCATAATTCTTCGTTCAGGAGATTTTCCAGTATTTGCATTTAACCGGATTACTAATATAAAGAGATAGGGGCAATGAGTCAATAATTTCGTTAAAATCTTTAAATTAATCTAATATTGTATATTGCGAAGAAATCACGTAATTATGGCGTTTCGTCCCAACTTCCACTACTGGACTCATCAGTAAGGCATTGTAGTGGAAGTTGGGTCAAACAGTTTATATCTTCTTATCTTAAATAAAAATTATTTTGTATCGATTTTATACGTGATCCAGTTAAATGCATCTTAAATAAAGACTCGCATACCGATTTTATACGTAATCCGGTTAAATGCAAATACTGGAAAATCTCCCGAACGAAGAATTATGAGAATTGCTCAATCCGATTGTTATTATTCGTCGATATTTTGCAGCACAAAATATACGTCTAATCTGCTTTAAATTGACGAACTCACACGACTTACTCGGTCGAGACTTCCAATATACACTGATCGCGAACAAACCTTTAACGATATTCCGCGTCTATATCCTATAACATGCGCTATCTACACAACTAGATAGACACGCGACCGTGTCTGTTTGCAAACAAGTCCGATGTCCACGAAAGCTGGAATGTAAACGTTGTGGCGAATTAATAATTATGTCACAACGCGATTTGCCTGCTGTTATATTGGTGAACTAATATAGCAATGGTAAACTCGTGCTCATTGAAATTAAACTTTAAATTGCAATAATAATGTAAAACTCTCGGAATTTGTGATAAAGAGAGATAGTAAGAAATTTCTCTACATAAAATAAAATAATATTGAAAATCTATAAATCTGTTCAGATTTGCTTATACATATTTTGTTGCGATCGTTGCTTATTGTAATTTCACGATATTATAGGTGCGTCTACTTCTCTTTTCATTATTGCAATGATTCAAGTAATATTTACTTCTTTTAATACATAGAAAATAGCGTATAGAAAATGTAATTATGCTTTTTAAAAATATCGAACTATATTTTCTTTTTTTTTAGTTTGCAGATTATCACCGTTCAAGTTACTACGGCAGAAGTTTCGGATGGCAAAGCGGCTTGCGGTTCGTCGTAACACAGCGATACATCGTAAAAGCATCTACGCGGAACTCTCTACACGGAGACGACAAAACCGATCCGAATCTTTCCACGAAACACGATCAAGGATAATGTATATATAGAGTAAAATAAATCAGACATAAGACGTTATGATATTCGGGTTTGCTTCAATATCAAAGATAGCGAGAGATCGACTTGTCAAGTCGACATTTGATGACAAAGGTAAAAGCTATATTTCTTTCTTTTTTGCGATAAAACATCTTACAGTCTGTTACTGAGAAAACTTTAGCGATTTTAAATTTTTAGACACGGATCACTTGACCGAAACGAGCGAACACTTATCCCGACTTTTTCCTAACAAAAATTAAATCAGTCGGAAGGAACGTTAATGAATGCATATAGATAATGAAGCTTTTAAATACACAGGGAAAGAGAAGTAAATTTTATATGTCAAAGTTAAAATTTGTCTTAACGTAATTTTTAAAAAATTGTATCCGCATTCTTTTAATATAAAAAAAGCTAACAATCTAGAATATATTTTTTTTAAATATATATATTTTATGCCAACTAGTTTTTAATTGATAGATCTTCAATAATAGCATATTGCATTCTATCTATTAACTTATTGTTAGTAATTAATAGTACCAAAAAATGATAAAACAATATTATTTAAGTTAATTTGAAATATTTATAATAATAAAAAAATAATTAAGTCAAAAATTACACGAATAATTTGCAGAGGGAACATGAAGCTCGCGAGAATAAAGATGGTAACGTGAAATGACGAAATCGAAGGGCAATGCAAAATCGGGAAGTGATAAAAATTGTTGAACGATGGAAATAAGTTCGATGATGACAACAACGACGGCCGCTTCTGGTTATTACGACGTTAATAAATTCATACAAAACTTCAGTAACAGTAGCAATGAAGGGCCGTCCGAATGTGGACAGGAAGTCAATACCAATGGCCTAGCAGACTTCATTATTTATGGCATATTCGTCAATCTGATCGGTCTCTTCGGAATCTTCGGCAACACGATCTCAATGATCATCTTATCGCGACCGCAGATGAAATCTTCTATCAATTATCTACTGATTGGATTGGCCAGATGTGATACAGTACTGATTATCATTGCGGTAAGTGTCTCTCTTAGTTACGCCTCTTGCACTTTTTGTGCGAGAGAAATAAATATCTTTAAGATTTAAAAATAGAAAGGAGGTTTTAAAAAGTCAAGGATAAGTAAAATATAGTCTTTTTAAAGAGACAACGAATGTAATTAAAGAAACATAGAAAATGATGGTTTCCTTGTATAACGCACTTTATTTCTTGACACTTTAAAGAATTGGAAGTTACATGAAGAAAAACATGCTGATACTTTTCGTTGTGAACATTTTTATGAATTCATATTAATGCAGAGTTAAATATTATATGGTAGAATTATTGTGCAAGTAAAAGCGGAATATTGCACGTTTAATGTAAAAGAAACGGTCAAAGTTAACAGCCGCTTGAGTGAGTTGGTCGAGCTACTTTCATCCTTACTACGAAAAAATAATATGAAAAAGTTTTTATTATACCGAAATTAATGTTGACTTTAAAAGCTTTTAAAATATGTTTTATTATTTAACAAAATAATGAATTTTGTATATTATATTTAATTTATTTATATTTTTTATACAGAATATAATATATCATGTATTAGTAATAATTATTTATTACTAATATAATATATCAAGTAATAATTATTTATTTAAAAAATATTTTTTCATTTTGTTAAAAAAATAATACATACATATTTTAATATCATAAACTTTTATTTTAATTTAAGTATTGTTTACTCATCGTATAATATCAGAATAGATTTACTTATATTACAGTTAATAATGCAATAAATATTTTATGCGTTTGTCTATACGATTTATTTATCATATTCAACTAACAATAATATAATATACAATACACAAATATTTTTATTTATGGGAGTATCCTGGAAAAGGAAAGTTCAATCTCTTGTCCTTGAAATTTATGATTAAAAGTTATGATTGATAAAACCTAATATTTTTCTCATTCAAAATCAGAGATTTTTTTCCCAAGCTTTAAAATATTCAAAAAGCCAATCAACGCAAAATGTTACTGTTGTGTAATAACAGAATCGACAAAGATCTCCTCTCTTTCAGAAAAGATCATGGATGTGTTCATGTATCTTTTGTATATTTTACGAGATTCTTTTGTGAAACTTAAAGACACAATTTCTTTCATCATGACCTCAATTGCGACGTGTGATGAATCGCAATAGGCTGAACGGAAAATCAATATTTAATTGGCACACATGACCAGAAACGATTTTCAATAGGATCGTGGAACGCCTCGTAATTGCCACCGAATGACCCAGCGTTTACCGTCGTTGCGTCTGGCCGCTGCCAATCAATCATGCGTACCAGATAAAATTTAAAAAAAAAACTATTTCATCGTTGACATCGTTCCTGAACCATTGAGTTGCATGTCGACGAGCTTATCGTGACGCCTTGTTACCGTTATCTTTTATTAACAATAGCTCTCGAAACAACCGTGCTCGCTCATGTTGAAAGTGATATGAGTTAACGTTTGAGAGACATGTTTAATCCTCTTTGTCAAATATACGGGATATTTTCAGAGAACCATCGCAAACATGCAATGATGAAACGTAAAAAAAATACTGTTTATTAAATCTACTTCAGTGTTAACGCATTAGTGTTTTTAAAATTCTGAATGAAAGGATCTTCCATGAATTAGGTTATACATACATTGCAAAATTTTATTCTTTAGGTATTTAGTTTTGTGAAATATTTTAAATTAAGAATCAATTTTTATATTTAATATTAAATGTAAAAAATTAAAGTGTAACAAAAATAATATCCAATTATAAATTTTTTAAACTTAAAATGTAAACCAAAAAAATATTATTAAAAAGAAACGTAGTGTTTACCTTTATATGACGTATAAGACTGATTTTTTATTATCAAATGTTAAAAACTTATGTTAGAAAATTTATTTTTATTAATTCAATATTTTACACTTGACAAAAGTACTTTTCCATTAAGTTTTTTTAACTGAGATGCTATATTGAGACATTCTTTGCATCAACTAATATATTTTTTTAATGGCTAGTTAAAGATGCAAAATTCTCTTTATTATATCTGAATCTGACAATTAATTAATTTTTGTCGCGTGTCAAATAAAGTAGATATTAAATTATAAATTATAAATTAAGAGTCTGAAAAGTATGACGTTTGATAACGAGTGTTAGATATCGAAATTCAATTTTCGTAAAACATCCACCACAGACATAATACCTTGTCGTAGAAATCAGCCGCAGACCTCTCATTTTAATTTTACTTTTAATTCCGTGTTTCATATAATCGTAAATTTCCGACATAGCCGAGCTTTTCACACACATTAAAATAAATTCTCTTTAATATAACCCAGTAGTTGCGCGTTCTGGTTTATCTTATATAATTTCAGTTATTTCTCTAAACATGTAATTTATATTTTTATCTCAATATGCTATCACATTTTTATCTTAAATGTACATCTGTTCGTGTGTGTCTACATAGATAAATCTAACAAATATAAAGAGAACTTATTATAAAAATCATTAAGAAAATAGTTTCAGCAAATTTTGTAATTTGCAACACTAAATTCAAAAATTTTAATTTTAAAATTTTCTTTTGGAGAAATATATATATGTATATTTACTTTTCAGGTAATATGATAAAAATTAACTAAATTATAGCGTGTTTAATTATGATACGTTATATACATATATGTATTATATTTTAAAAAGTTATATAAAGACATAATATATATAACCACATAATCACAATTTAAAAAAATGTTATAAGTAAATGCAAAAATAGAAAAAATTTATTTTTTGAAGATTAATGATATAGAATAAAACTAAATACTTTTATTGCATGTTTAGTGTGTTTTGCGGTAATCAAAGATATTAAAAAGAACAAATTGCGTAGATCAAGTTTTATCTCTTTTATGTAGAATAATTTTACATCATCTTCGTAGCCATTTTTGTCAATATAAATTCGCGATACAGAGAAGAAGAATTAATGTCTTTGAAAATGCATGGGCCGTTAAGATGACATAGAATAATATGGATCGCACGTCGAGCTTAGGTAAATAAATCACGTGTTACGCGGTTTTGCATTTTCGCGAATAAAGTCAAGACTAACAGGACTAACACGATAAAAAGGATCTTTAAGGTTTAAAAGAGACGAGTTGGAAGAGCAGAATCTCATCAACCCTCTCGAGATCATATTACACAAACCAACCTGATTATTAATTAATTATTTAAAGCAAACTTTCTATCCTGATGTTGACTTCGCACTCCGTCTTCCTAATGAACTATTTATATGCTCATTTATCAAACGTCGCGAGCAAGGGCGCTATACATTTATAAATATAATCGCACTTTATGATAAATAATTGTGTTGTGTGTGTGTGTGTGTGTGTGTATGGATTTATCAAATATATGTAATTTAAAAACAAAATTCCAACAATTATCTATTTTAATACACTTTAAATGCAAGGTATTACAAAGAGACAATAAGAGAGAAAGAGAGAGAGTCAGTTATGTTATTAGCATACAAGATTATTTATACATATCTCAGAAACGGTTGAGTTTCCTATGTTTACTAAAGCTTTTTTTATTTTATAAATACTAAATGAGTTTTTTAACACCCTGTATAAGAATCCCTTATTTTTTTAATTGTATCTATAAATAATGCATTTATAGGTATTAATCTACGGATTACCAGCAATCTACACGTATACAGGCGCGCTATTCGACTACAAGTTCATCGTCTATCCGAAAACCATCAGGTACCTGTATCCGCTGGCTTGCATAGCGCAATTTGTGACGGTGTATCTGACGTTAACGGTGACTTTAGAGAGATACATCGCGGTCTGCCATCCATTGAAAGCTAGATCCTTCTGCACTTATGGACGGGCTCAAGTAGCAGTGTTGATCATAGTGATCGTCGCTTTTATTTACAATTTACCCAAGTAAGTAATTAGGCTAATGTATTTAATGTTTTTCCTTTATCCATAATTGTTAAAAAAAGAGATTAGTATACAACAGAAAAAGGAAGTTTTAATTAAAATAATTGTGTTTAAATTTTTTACTTTTTCTGTTGTCTAGAACGATATAATATAAAATAGTTATAGCGAGAGAAATGATGAAAAGAAAAGAATATTTGAAAAATATGTTACGCTTACAGTTGATATTGTAATAGGATTTAAAATTATTGGGCAAATTAATGGAGAAATTAATTTCTGAATTTATTTAGATTCTGGGAAATTGAAGTGTATAACGAGAAGCATTGGAAGTATAATATTACGGTGTACTGCGTTGATCCAACTGAATTGAGGAGCAACGAATATTATGTCATCCTGTACATTCATTGGATGTACTTTTTTGTGTATTACATGTTTCCGTTCATCGCACTGGTGATTTTTAACACGGCCATTTATCGACGGGTGAGTAACACAAATATAATACAAAGCCCAACATTGTCATAAATTTATATTATTTTACTAAAATAATATTTTATGGAAAGATAATGTACTTTGTGAAAAGAACATTTTATTTTACACGTGGACGAACTTTATTTTTAATTTAATTTACTCCGAATGCATATTATACAAAGCCGACACACGAACAACTGAAATTCTGCATTAGCCATAAGTATAGAGCATTCCTAAAAATTGACGTTCTATATGTAATAAAAAATAAATTTAAAAATCGTTTTATTAAAAAATAATATTTATTCTTATGATATAATTTTTTGTAATACGTTGCTAGTTTAATTTCCTTTGGCTTTTATTACTACCAGTTCTCTTTTGAAATATAATAAATTAAGCATGCTTTATATTTACTGCTAAAGTTAAAAAAATTAAAGAAATAATTACGATTTTATTTTACAAGAATATCATCTATGATTGTTAAATTTCAAACTAAAAACATGACAAAGAACATTGACAACCCGAAATGAAACACAAAACAGTCGGATTAAACGTGAGATATCGAACAGCTTGTCAGTAACAGCGAGCTTCCCCGATGGAACTGATACTTTTCAAAACTACTGCTCCATTTTATTAAAACTTCTTTTTAAAATTTGCAATAAGTCATGACAAAGGAAAAGGAAGGGTAACCGGGCCGCAATAAGTTCGCGTAACGGGCTGGCTATGTGATATAAAAGTACGAATAATAAGCCGAGACGACGAAACCTATAAAGTTACACAAAGTGTACAAGTCTCTTTGATACACGTGCACACGCTTAGAATTCGCGAGCACGTATAAGACCAGCGAAATTCATGGACGGCTGCTCTCACACGTGCCACTTATGCAGACCGCACGACTGCAACTGCAGACACAAGCAATATGATCTTTTCTTCCTCCTTGTCCTTTGATAAAATATGGGAAACATTTGTAATCGGAAGTTAATATGTGTTAAATATTGCAAAACAATTTCTGCACTCTAAATTGATAATAATAACATAACACAATATTAAAAATTAGCAAAAAATTAAATTAATAATCTCAAGATCAAAATTAGAATAATAATTTTATTGTAAGTATTATCAATATGTCTTGGTTTTTTGTAATTAATTAGACAGAATCTAAATATATAAGAGAAATAGAAATTAATATATCAATTGCTTTGATGTATTAATAAAGATTACCTTTACAGTTCTTACATAATAATGACTATGAGATAAACATAACATTTTTTGATAAGTGATATTTTTTTTCTTTATACGATTTAATTGGCAAGAAAAATCTGAAGGATAAAAAGCGATACAATAATTAAAATTTGATTTTGATTAATATAAAAATATTATTTTTGCAATTTTAAATGATGTCTGTATATAATTTTTATTTCTATATGCAAATATATACGTTTTTTTACGTGATATGCATTTTGAAATAGTATGAGGATGTATATTTTCGCTAAAAAATTTAACCACAGACAGGGTCGAATCGGATCTATATCCTCGGGGGTCTAAAATTACAAAGCGCCTGTTGTCGAAGGACAACTATTTCTCACATAGCTTTTCCTTATCATGAAACTTTAGCGTCTACAAACTTCCTCCTTAATTCCGAGATCAGGATGAGCTTTTCAGTGACATATTCTGCGGGACAACTTCTACAGACTTCATAAGGAAGAAAGCGCGTTTCCGATGAGAATGCTCATGCGGCAAATGAAGGAAGCTATTTAATCTCGTCTTCTCGAAAGTCTTACTTCCTGACGAAGTTGCAGTCTCTTGATGTTTCTCTTCCTGACGAGAAACCGCGACTAACAATAAGCGGTGAGAAAACGTGAATAAAACAGAATAAACGGAGAATGCTTTTGCTTTGTCAATTTAAAGAAAAAGTTTCAATCGATAAAAACGTTACCGTCCACTTATTTATGTTTATAATATTTATGTTTATAATTTGGGAAATCGGGTTTAAGGATATATCAGGTAGTGTCCGCAAAAAGTAGAATTAGAAATTCAGCCAGATATATATACTTTCTGTATAAAAATAAATTTTGTATAATATGAAATAGTTTAATATTTATAATAATACAATTTTATAGCTTAAATAAAAACCTTCTCATTTTTTATCTTAATTGTTTTTTAAAACGTTTCTATATCTTATTGAAATAATTTTTTATCCAAGTTTTCTAAATTGTTACCAAATTTTTTATTTTTAAATACTATATAGAAAAATGATTTTTTAAATAATGTTTTCATTTTGTTAAAAAATACATATGATATATTCTTGATAAATTTCTGAAAAAGATAATTCGTAACTATTAAATTGCGTTTTCTATATTCCTTCGACAATGTTTTAAAGTAATTTTCTGTAAAATCAAGATAGTCTGTTACGTGAATGACAGGGTGACAGGCATGATTCAACGTTCCGGCGAGGAATAAAGAACTGAAACAAACACTTATATTCGCGCCAGCTAAGGACACGCGTCTCGCTATATTTAACAACCTAATATTTGCAAGAAGATACGATTCATATTACGCGTTTCGTTTCAAACTTTATATGTGGCTAATAATTTTATTAATAATTTAACGTGAGCATATTTACACAAAGAGAGGTACCGAGTGAACTGTATACAATAATCTGAGACACGTCAGCGACACTCGATTCGCATAATAATTCGCCGAAGTGACGCAAAATCATAATAATAATTAGTGTCGCCACTTTACCGTCGCAATTGTTTTAGTAGGCAAGCACGTTATACATAAAAACTTGCTTTCGTGATTTGGAAGCAGAAGCCACAGAATCAAAAGAATGCAAAAAACATGCAAATCAGTAAATAAATATAGGAATTCATGGTGCAAAATTTCTAATTTTCAAAATCTTAATTAATTTACAATACTTGAAATTTTTTCTTGTTATTTCGTGTATTTTTTTCTTTTTTCACTTTTTATTGTATTTTAGGGTATTAATTAATTTGATTGTTATATGAAATTTCTAGTTATATCAATAAATCATTATTGATTATTGCGAGTCATTTTTGATACTGAAATTAATGCAGTTATTACGCTTTCATGCACAGCTTTCCGCTTAGTTTCAACTATGTTTGATATATTGGGATGCATTGTGGAAATGACTAATATATTGAAATTGTTCTACAAGCTGTGTATTATTCTATCACTATATAAATCATGTGTTACAAACAGTGCACCTGCTCATTTAACGTCAATTGTCATAGAAACTATGCTTTGTTAAAACACTTTCAATGTCATATTGTTACGTTTTCCTCTTGTAATTCTTCGATTTGTTTCATAATTATTTCGGATGAGCTACATACCGTTATATCCCAAATATATTTCGGAAACTACCGCAATCCTGAAAATCTACAACCGAAATCCCGAGATTAATCATTCTTGTGCACGAGAATCCCAAGCGTTCTTTTACGTTCCGCCCCGTTTGGTCGGTAGTAAAATATCGCAGCATGTCTGGCATCTATTCAGCGCTTTCTTACCGTGTTCCCGAGTACGGCGTGGGCGAATTTGGAAGCCGCGGAACAAACGTCGAGAACGGCGAGGTAGTAGGATGCAAACGTGAAATATAGGTAGGCGACGGGCGCAAAGCTCGGAATTTTGTGCACGAATCGAACGTTCTCGTTGAAGCCCTTTTCCTCTTCGCTTCTATCTTTCACAAAATAGAGGAGATCAAATATTATTACGCGAGAATCCCGATGTAGAGTAACACTTCACTCGATCGTGACAAGAAACACTGGCACGAGTATATTGACGATTTTCTTATTTAGAGAGAGAAACACATGTCAAATTGGATTTTCATGTTAGAGCGGTGAGATAGTTATAAGGTTTCTTTTTTTAACATAACTATGACAACATTTTTATATCACGACATAACTATAATATATATAATATTTATTAGGACCATATCGAAAAAATAAAATCGTGATTTCTGTCAAACTTCATCACGGAATATTTTTTTATGTTGAAGAACGATCGCGTAAATCCGAACAAAGCAGTTGAACAAGCTGAAGGTACGTCACGCCGGAGATTACTGCGCAAACACAATATGTTTCACATAACTTCGAACCGAAATAATATATAATTCGCTACAAAATAGACATGGTACATATTGTCCAGGGTGTTATTACCGTTTTTTACATCGCACGGCGAGGGAGTCGTTAGAACTAAAATTTCAATAAACAACAAACCCTCCGCTGACTCGTGTTTTGTTTTGAAAAAGTGCGTAGAACATCAGTTTATCTGAAAGATGATTATATCAGTAAAATGTAATAATAAATTTTAATCCATCTAAATCCATTTAAATCAATCTAAAAACTTGTATAATATTTATGATTTTTTAAATTTTAGACAAAAAGAAATTTGTAAAATTTAAATTATACATATAATAAATATATTTATATTATACATTCTTTTCCGATTTTTATTATTATTCTTTTCTAATTTTTTCTTTTAAAAAACCGACGATATTTAAGAAATATGGGGGTTGCTACAGTTCTCGAAACTATATGAAAATTATAAAAACAAATTTACTTTTGTAATTTTCACCTCGTTTGAAGAACCGTAATAAGCTTTCAGCTATTGGTCTATCTAATACAAATTTAATTTACCCATTTGAATGGTTTTCGTATTCCTTTCATCTCGTATTTCTAACGGTTCCTTGTTCACGCGGATAATTGCGCTGCTTGTTTCATCGTATCTCGGAAAAACAAAAACCCGCACATTAATCGACTTTTGTCGTTCTTGTAATTAGTCGCGTTCCTCTAAAAATGTTAATCGATCTTCTTTTTTCATGGTATTTATTTGGGAATCGGTACGTATCTTCTGGTTGTGTATTACATCATTGAACGATACTCAGGAATTTAACAACAAAAAAACTGTCTCCCCGAAAATTTAGTAAAACTTATAATGTTATAATATGACAATTCAGTATTAATTAACATAATAAGTTGAATTATTAGTCTCGTGAAACGAGTAAATAGATATAAATCACGGTAATCCTCAATAATAAAATGCTGTTATTAAATATATATTTTTCTCATAAGGCTTTGGTTTTTCATATCAAAGACGATAAAAAATTTATTATTGAAGCAAAATAAATAAATGTAGAAAAATTATTTTTTTACTAATATAATGAAATAAGGGCAATGAGCTAATTTTCATTAAAATCTTTAAATCAATCTAATATATGCAAATCAATCTAATTATTTTTTTATAGTGGTAATAAATAATTATTACAACGCGTAATACGATGTTAGAAATTTTCTGATAAAAATAGAGTACAATTATTAACTATTCTAATTTAATTGCCTATCTCATAAGTGAAAATTTTATTTAAGTTAAATTATATCATATAGAAACTTAAGATAAAAAAGAAAGATAAAAAATTTCTTTTCCTAACACAAAAATATTGAATCATGTCTCATAATATCTTTAGGCGTATGCCGGTTTTCAGGTCAGAAAGGCGAACCGAGACCTGCAGCAGCTATCGCGTCATCAACGTCGAGAAATCGGCCTAGCGACGATGTTGATGTGCGTGGTGATCGTGTTCCTGATTTGCAACATCCTGCCTATGATCTCGAACGCGCATGAGACGTTCATCGCAGATCCGCCGCAGTGGATGGTGCAGATCGGCAATCTATTGGTGACTATCAACAGCAGTATCAACTTCATCATTTACGTGATCTTCGGACGAAAGTTCAAGAGAATATTCCTCAAGCTCTTCTGCTCATCCAGGCTGTTTGTGCCCGGCCGGGATAGTCCGGAGTTTCAGACTTACGACGAATCGGTTGTCACGACGAATATCGAACTGAGAAACTCAGTCAGACACGGCCACCTTCATCGTGCCAACACCATCAGCTGGAACAACAACATCCACGTGTCCAACGGCAGCACCAGACAGAGTCTGAAGAGTGGTAGACCAGCCAGCCCCGGTTCCTGCGTTTATTATCCGGGCAAGAATTCAGTGAGAAACCTTAGTCAGATGTCAAGAACGTCGAATGGTCGCAACAGTTGGACCAGAAGAGAGAACGGCGATTCTACGCTATAATGGACAGCAACAACTATCCGCGTTTATTATGCAATTAGAAGTCTGCCGAGTATTTTAATCAATGTCAGGAACTTTCACTGATTAAAAGTAGTGAAAAAAAGTAGAATGTGATAATTTCAAAGTCAACAAATGTCAGTCTTTTTATATTTGTTATCTTGCCAGAAATCAACAGTCACTCAATTGTTTGCCGAAACTTTTAGTTAGTCATAATTGATGGAACAAGAAAATGATACTTTCATGTAATTTATGACATATAATTGCTCGCTACATTTTGTGGTTTATCATATTGGATGAGTGATCCAAAATGTTAAAACCAAGTAAAGCATCCTATTGATATTTTAATTGCATTCAAAATGTCAAATATTAAAAGGACCAAAGCGATGTAAAAGATAATTAATATTATCTGATATTTTTTCTAGATTATTTAAAATATCATCTAGTCGAAATTGAAGCAAGAAGACGTTCGGAAGAAGCAAGACGAACAAACTTTACGGCGTAATCATAGACAATAAAACAACTAACATGATTATCCATTATTTTTATTTTTCAATCAAAATTTGTATTTTCATTATCCAATCAGGAATTCTATTATGAATCCTAACTGAAAATTAAGACAATCCACAAACCAACAAAAAAAAAAAAGAATAAAAATGAAGAAGAAACGGAATAATCAACAAATAATCGATATTATAACGTGTTTCTTCCATATACGTTCTCTCAGTTATCTTAGCAATTTCGATGTCCAGAACGTCAGAATGAATAGAAAGACATAAGGATAAAATGGGGCGATTCAGCGCTATATTGGACAATCGATATTATTGTACCTTTAGGAAAAGCTCGGTCCAATTCTCACGCTCGAATGTTGTAATCCTGTGGGACAGCATAGCCGTCCGCCAGCTTCGATATAAAGGAAAGGATCGTTAAGGATAACAGTTTTCGTATTTCCTGTCGTGAAAGAGCTCAGAAATCCAAGTGTATCTTGCAACGATGATCCTTAGAGTAATTCTCCGAAAGTTCCATCTTGCTTCAAGACGATCTAGTCGGATGTTAAAAAAAGAAATAAACTAATCCTAGAAAGGCCGGTATTCGCAGTTTGTTCTTATTTTAGATTGTCTTAAAATGCTTATGTGTGTGTATGTGTGTAATGCATAAGCATTACATACATACACACACACACACACACACACACACACAATTCTGTAATTGGTTGATATGTTAACTTCTGGTACCACTTGTATGTTTCTTTTGTTATATATGCAGCTACAATTTTTATTATTAAAGATACATACATTTACTTATTACTGTTATATTCCTAACTATACTTCGTTAAAACAAAAATTTATAAGATATAATAAATTTTACACGTTCATTTTTATACAATATATCCAGTGCATTATATACATAACAAGATACATATACATATAGTATACCGAAATGATTAAATATAAGAACCGACTGTAAATATTGGCCCGAGTATCACCATTTCAAATTATAATACTTTAAACAGACGCGTTCATATATATACTAACTCGTTCATATATATTTCCGTAATCGACTATAAATTTTATCACTGTTCATAAAAGCTGCATAGCGATATTGGCTTAATAGATTAATATAAATGAATAGATTAAGTATGAATTGATAGATTATAAATAGTAAAAAAGATTTCTTGTTTCGTGATAAAAGACGTTAAGTACCAAACAAAATATTCTATCAAAATTGATCTTGAATCCTGAAACTTACAATGGAAATACTAATAATAAAATAAAAACACGTATCACAGTTCTAAATATACAATAATATATTTCACTTACAATTCAAGGAAATTTGAAAATTTTTTTTAAGAATCTTGGATTTTATCGTTCACAAGCTTTTAATTTTTAGTATTAATTAAACATCTCGACAATTAAAATATGGTATTAAATATTTAATAAATTTAAACAATGTTGCGTATACATATATAAATATATTTAGAATAAGGATAAACGCCTCTCACAAGAAAACAAGAATCTCTATTATATATATTAGAACGATATTTTTCACAACATTAAATCTTATCTTGCCTATTGACACAAAAAAGTAAAAAGAATAATATGAACAATTTATAGCTATGTTTCACATCAAATGTATTGTAATAAAAATAGACTATTTATACTTTTGATAAGAATTTTAGAGTACGTGTCAGGAATATCTAACACGTATTTTTTTTTTTAAGAAAGCTTACATTATAACTAGCGCTGTGGCTGTATGCTCTTCGTTTTTATTTCAGCTCACATTTTGTTTCTCCAAACTATACAAATAAAATTTGTTCGAAGAAAAGACAAAAAATTTAATCAAATTAAAGGATTTCTTTTTTTTCATAAAATAATATCTTAATTCAGTAAAATTCTGCGGTCTTAAAATATTCCTAAATCATATTTCATCGTAATCATTTTCATTTAATTTAATTCTTTCATTGTCCTGTTCTTAAAAGAATGTTTTATTTAAGCACACACATCTTTTATATTTTATGAAAAAATTCAAAAAACTTAAACGAATATAATAAAAAATCTTGTACGCGAAATAAGCCAATAAGAAGCTGTTATGATCGGAAGTTAAATTTTACTCGGAAAATGTTATATTCTTGCAGTGTTATCTTGAATAAAAATCTTGTTTAAAGTAATCTGCTAACTCGAACCGAGTAGGTTTCGCGAACTTCTGGCATGTCAGTCACGTACTAAACTCTCCGAAGAAAATAAATCGAATTTCAAAGTCAGACGATCCCAATAGTGCAACATTCCCTCGGGGAGGACTTTTGTCCTGGTTATAGAGAATCCTGTACCTTGCATTCTTGGACTATTGCTCTTTGAAACTTGCATACTGATCAACTTCAACCAACATTCGTCAACTGACGAAGAAAGATTTCCTGTTTCCATTATTGGAATGGCAAGATAAAAAAAATTGTCATTTGTTAATACCAATTTAAAAAAAAACTTATAATTTTAAAAATATATATAAAAATTTCATAATTTTTCAGATATTTCTCAAGCATAGTTTAGTATTTAGAGTGATTTAGATGGCTAATTTTTTCAATATTAATGAAATATAAAATCAATTTCCAGAGTATTTTTCTTATAATAATAAATTTACAGCATTTTTAAAACTTTACTTTCACACTAAACGAAAAATCGAGATATATATAGATTATGTACACACACATACACACATATATGTATACTGTACCATTTTCGTTTATTCGTGTATAGATTTAAAAAACGATATTTTAAGATAAAATGAAAAGAATGAATGAGCTGAGAAATGCCACAATTGTAGATTGTATAATCACACCAAAATGTACTCTTAATTAAATATAAAATTGTAATACAAGTGTAGTCTCCATCTAAATTTCACAAATACGTGTAATATAATATATTCACACTGAAAAAATGACGTTTATTACATAAACGCGAGTAAAAATATATAGATATATTTTAAAAGAAAATCGTTAAAAATTAGACATTTAATATAAGAATTGTAAATATATTTCTATCTACAAATTTACAAAATAGTACCTACTGACTTTAAATACTTCTCTTTTCTCCTACTGCAAAAATTATTTATTTATATAGTTATATTTTTTATTTAATAAGAGAAGATCGATAAACATTAGTTAGTGTTTATCATAATTCATAATTTGCTTTTTGGATAATTGTATAAGATAAAAGATACTGTAAGTTTAAATTTATCTTAACGATTTCCAACATATTCTTGCTATAAGGAGAAAGGAAGAAATTAGATTTAAGTACAGAGGGAAACAAAACGCTCTCGTAACTATACGAACATAAAAGAGATTCACCATTCTAGTCACAGAATTTCTGTAATATTTAAGTCCATTATAAATATGTACACTCATATTTAATATATACAACGACGATATGTACATACATATGTTAAGCTCATCTGTTTATCATATTTTACTGCTGTTTCAACATTCTTGTAAATATAATATAGGAATCATAAATAATAGTGAACAATGACTAGAAGAAACAGTACTGACATTTGTCTATTTTTAATTAAATAAGATGAAAGACATTAAATGTAAAATTGATTCCAAAATTTGATTTAAAAATTACTAAAATATGTATCCTTAAGTTTTTTTTCTTTATATATCTAATAAAATATATTTAATAAAATCAATGAAAATCGAAATATTTAGCTTTTAAATAAAAAGTGAAATATATTTATAAATTTTCTTTATTGTAAAGAAATCATAACCTCGAATTAAGCTTCTACACCAGCAAATACTTCTATTCCATTGTGCTGCCAAAGCATATCACATATAAATATATTTTCATGTAACTCTTTAATAATCTATCTCTTTATAATCCATAATACGGCTAGAAACACACATTTCGCTCATGTAAAAATATATCCCCTTTACCACCCAAATATGCTTTAAATCAATTTTTTGTACATAAAATAAATTCGCACAATCAATGCATAAGTTATATTTATTCAATCCTCCATAACATGACATTAATCCGTACGAGACTGAGATTTCAACATAAAAAACAATTATTACAAAGTCTGCATTTATAATGCCAACAATTAACTATGTACGTAGCTTCATAAAACATTAAATAAGGCACAATAGGAAACTAAATATTATAGAAAAGAAATATCATTAAAATCACATTTTTAAAAATATAATACAAGAACAGAGTTTACATATAATAAAGTCAATATACTCAGTATGCAATAAAAGAATTGAATGTACTCTGTTTAATAGTTATCTCTCCTTTGCTAGCATATTTTTTATTATAATTTCAGCAAAAATAAATAACAATAAAATCACTTTCTTGATTAAATGCAATTATTAAATAATACATGTTGTACATTGATTTCTCGGTTGTTTTAAATACATATTATGTTCTTAACAATTGATTAATTATTATATGGTCATTGAACAGTTAGAGACTGACTGGAACAAACACCAAGAATAAGATAGACTTACAGAAAGTTATTTCGACTGTATTTATTTGAAGAATATTATGATACGGCACATGTATCGTTATTACATAATGCAACTGCGATTTTGACTACGAGCTACGCCTTTTTACTCTTCGATCTTACGTAGAAGTACAGGGTAATCAAACCTATACCAACGTATGTTGCAACCGTTACCTGGAAAATAAATCGCTTAAAAATCCGTTCACAAGTGAATAAAAAGACTCATCAAGATCTTGATACAAACGACTCAACACAATTTTGAGGTTAAATTACTTACATTCCTCCGACCATACATGGTTTGACTATTAAAATGTTTTGCCAAACCCGTGAGCTTTTCTTCACCCTCGGCCATTTTTTCGCGATGGAAAATTTGATTTCGAGCGTAAGAGTTTTAGAAAAAAGAATGCAAAACGTAGTCTAGCTGCAAATCGCTGTGCCTCGATACATTCACTGTTCACAATTCACAATCGTCTGCTAGCGCCATGTTGAAAAAAAAAAAAAATATATATATATATATCGAAAATAAAATCGCGAGATATCAATATCTTATTTAAAATTTTAGAACTTTTGTTTAGCAATATTTTTGAAGTTCTTGAAAGTTTTCATTAATTTATATATGTTCTTTATGAGATAAATATAAATTTATTTAAATTACTTATATCTAATGTTAATTTTCTTTTTAATACAATAATTTCTCTTTAATAACAGTAAATTTTAGAACAGCCAAAATAGGATAATATACATATTCCAATTTAAGAAATAAGATAATCGAAAGTTGAATAAATCAAAAGGCTAGACGATTTTTGTAATCTTAGATCTTTTCACATCGGTTTGCCAAACAGTTATGTTGTGTCTAATAACTTTTATTTAAATTTCATTAAACCGAGCAGTTCAAAATGGAACCTACGTACAACAACTATACAAAAATCGTCTAATCTTGACAATAATTAAACTTAACAATTTGATGAACAATTTGACTTAATTTGGACATTACCACCTTAGTATTTATAATTTTTATGCGCCATTATGAATATATCTTAATTTCAATTGTTATTTTTATATTGTATTGAGGAGGACCTTAACCATAGGTCGAAACGTTTACATTTTATTTTATTCCGAATAAATTGAATAAAAAGTACACTCTGTAAACTGGTATTGGCTCATATTGGCATTTTGTTCATTTCTTTTGATTCCATTTTAAGATAATTCCAAGACTATATTTGATAGTGTGCTTATTCTTTCTTTCCTTTTAAATTAGTAATTGGTTTATAAATCTAGATTATAAATATTTTGTCATTAAAAGTGTGAATATGAAATACATAAAAAACTTGTTTACATGAATTAAGAGTGATCTATTTCTTTGTACGTAAAATTTTGTTTACGTACAATGGATAGCAATACTGTATTATTCAAAAGCGGTAGCATTTTATTATTAAATTATAAGAAAAGAACTCAATATAAGTTTTAATTTTAAATGTAAATATTTTTCTACCATTAAAAAAAAGATTAATAAAATTTAATAAAATTCTTCTCAATACTTATTATTTGTTATAAGTGGGCATAATAATTATGAATCTTTTTTTATCAAATATATTTTAATACGTTTTAACATATATATTTTAATGTCTTAACAATAAAATCTATGTTGGCACTTTTGCTTATCATATAGTTTACGTCATGTAAAAATTATAAAAATATTTGTAAATTATTACTTATTACAAAAATTTCTCTGAATTATTTAAGACTGTACTTAATTAAATAGCAACAATGGTAAATTATTTAAAGTATTATATACGTTAAGCTATCAAAACTAATAACACAAAAATATAATTAACCACAGGTACAACCGGGAGCAAAAATATCTTTTCTAATTAGGATATTAAACTGTTGTCCTTGACTGAGTTTTTATTTAATTCAATGATTAATCAATTATTTTCAAAATATATAACACAAAAAACTCGCAATCTACTCACGACATTCAAATTAGATCATTTTTGCTCACCGCTGATACATTTCGTATACTTTTCATATACGCCATGTCACTATTAGTATTATTTCAATTTAAAGTACAGAAAATTCAAAGTAAATAAACCTAAACATCACATGTTCGTATTATATGATATAAAAAAAAAAAATTTATATACTTATACACTATTATATATTGTAATTACTTACAATAGTAATTTCTTATAAAAAAAATCTTAGTAATAGTAATTTATCATTTAAATCAATAGCAATAATTACATTAAATATTCACAACAAATTATGAAATAATGAGATTCACTCACTAGAGTTAATATAATAAATATATATATATATATATATATATATATGTGTGTGTGTGTGTGTGTGTGTGTGTGTTTATTTTTTGTTACACATTTATATATAATTTGAAAATAGTTCAATTTGTTGTTTCAGGTCGCGATAAGTAACGATCAAAGTCTAAAACAAAAAAAAAACATTAATTAAACGTTTCATATTTTTATAAAGATTTTTACTATTTAATAATATTTAAATACTAAATCTTATAGGATCGTACATGTAAGAAATACAACCAATAAGAAATTGCCTTTAACGTTCGAGCTGGATCTTATAGATGCTATTATAATTTCGTGTGAATTTGTATATTACATATGTTGTCTTTAAAACCGCACGCCGAACAATTTTTCGATCTTGAAACGCTACTCTATACAACTACCGCAATAATATCACGAGTTAAATTATCTACCAATTTAACAATTTTGATGCTCATAGCATCTTGGATCTTAATAATGTTGAATGACATATTAAAATCTATGAATAACATATTAAATCTGTAAATAATTAATTTATATTGCGAAAAATATCATTAAGGCCGGGAGCCGAACCTGAATCTTTGACATTCCGTGTAAGCGAGTTAGACTATCGAGACCTTAGTAATATTCTTCGCAATAATTGCACGTAGAAACAACGTCTTTTTCAGGCGACGTAAATAAATAATATTATTTAATAACGAGATTTCAATATTGAACTTTCGGATTATTTCTTGTTACGAAAATATATTATACATAAATCGTTTATATGTATTCAAATTTTAAGTGCAAAGAAAGTTTTCGCGCATTTTTGACAATTTTTCTTTATTAAAATAAAATAAAAATACAGTGTATAAATATTAGTGAAAGTATATTTCATTATTTTCTACCATATTTGTCTACCTTTTAGGTAGCATCACGTTGAAAATCCTACTACAATTCATGCATACAATCATTTATCGGTATGCACGAGAACCTTCCCTGCAACCTAATAAAATCTATTGACAGGTTTAGATGGTTTCAGACATCACATTCATTTTGATGGTACTCACCCACAAAATAGGTAGAACAGAACCAGCTACAAATTCATTCTTCTTGAAAGCATTCTCTATTTGATCTCGCGAAACTATCTTCAACTTGTGCAATAATGCCAACGCGGTTTGCAACGAGATCAAATGAATAGAAAGAATACGTTTTTCAGAATCACGAGGAACATTTAAGGAATATCTAAAATAGTATAAAAGTACATTTCTACATTAAAAAAAGTGTTATTCTATAAATTGTGTGTGTGTAAGAAATAATATTGTAACAAAATATAATGAAGATGTGTAATTGTGTGTACACATTTTTAAAATATGAAAAAAAATGGAATATTTTATTGTAAATATTTTGTAACACTACGTGGGAACATGTAGGAATAATTAATACTTTTTGGATCTTTGTGAGAAAGATCATCTCTCAACTTATAATCGATAGATTTGTATTTTGATACCGATCATTACAAGTTTCGGTTTTATAAGAAATAACCAATATTCAAAATAAGATTGAATGAGATGATGCGTGAAGAAGTATAAGAAATATAATCCGTATCGAGAATCCATATTTTAATATAATAGATTATATTAATATAAAAGATTATATTAATATAAAGATATATTAATATAAAAGATTAAAGATAGTAATTACAAGTATTAAAATATTCAAATTTACCTGTCTAGTTGTGAAAACTGAAGCGGATACTGAGATCTTAGAATTTCTTTGAAAGTAACTTTTATATTCAACGTATCTACCATAGTAAAAAAAGAGAGAAACTTCAGTTTCGTAAAGGCTTCTACAAACTCATTTGTCAATATCCAACCGTCATGTTCGAAATTAAATATAAACGTTATGCCTTCAACTGAATCTATAAAAAAAAATGTTAGTGATTAGTTCCACACACAATATCAAAATATATAAATAGTTCAATCAGTTAAATATTTAATGAAATTATACCAATTTTCTGAAATACAAAAGGGCTGAAAAAGGCCGCATTCCTGTTCTGCACAGATTCCTTCTCATTGTTTTGCCAAGAATTCGTGTTAATATCCCCGAGTTTCTCTTTGTCGTGACTGTCATTAACTTTAAAAATATTACTGGAATTAGTTACTTCAGTTTTCCGAGGTACTGATTTTCTATCGCTATCACAGTTCCAATCTTGGTAAGATAAAGTTTTCTCGTTGTGATTCAATAAAGGAATGCTGTTTTGGAACTTCGAATTTGCCCAATCTGGAATCTCGAATTGATTCCAAGATTGTGACGATACAGTTTGCAAATTGTCTGGGGCACTGTTTTGGTGTCGGTAAATCGATTCGCTATTTGTCAGTTGTGAACCTTGCATGAAATATGTCGATAGTCGAGTAACATAGTTCTCGTCATTTTGAAAATTATCTCTTATATTGTTATTTATTACAGTGTGCTGATTATGCAAAGAAGCAATATCGTTTGCAGACTGTGAAACCTGTGATGCAAGTTTTTTACTATTTTGTTCTAATTTGAGTGACTGAGCGTTCTGAATATTATCAAAGTTGCTACTACAGGCGTTTTGCTTTACATTTGCATTTGTTTCTAAGTCTGGTTGTTTCTTCTGTATATTATACGTTATCGGACCGGATTCATAAACGATTCTCGGAGTGTAACTTTCATTGACATGTCCCAGGTTGCTGATAGATGTAAAGCCATTATTCCTAGCATGAATATTCGCAGTTTCTGTTTTCAAAGCATTACTTTGCAGATTTTTAGTCGAGAGATACGATGCGATATCTGTATCGTAGTTACTAACAATTTGCTCAGTTTGCGTTTCTGAAGCTTGCATTTCATTACTTCCAGAAACATCAGTCATGGAAAACTTGAAGGGATTTGTATCTTTGAGCATACTGGTAAATTGGTTGTTCATATTATTTAGGAATTCTGAGAAATTATTCAAGGTATTAGTATTCATTGGCACCGCAGGAGGTACTGGTGTCATTACAGAAATGTTTTCGCCATCCTGATTAGCTTTTGAAAAGAAAGTATTGACTGGTGGTATATAATTAATGAACATTGACGATGTGGGAGTTGCTGTTGAAGGAGGTATTTGCATACGCGAACTAAACTCATCGGATTGACTCCAATTGCTTTTAAAAGAGAAACTATCTAAACCGTAAGCAGAAGATGCGGTGTTACACTGTGGTTTGTCATCGATGTTTATGGCAAACGGATTAGACATCGAGGGAGTATTTACATTAGGCTCTTGATTCGCGACAGTTTCATTGTTTAAATTATATGATGCTTTTTGTGTTAAATCAACATCGTTCGATGTCATTCCGCTTGTAAAATTAACTGATGTCGGAATTTTCATATCAGTGAAACCATCTTTTTGATTCAATAAAGTCTTTTTAATAATCTTCAAAATCTTATTTAATTGAATCTGATTCTTCAATGAGAGTGATGAATGTTCTAGTAAATCATAGAGAATTTCAGTCACCCCAGTATGTAACTGTTTATTCTCATTCCAGACTGTCATGTATAACTGTTTGACGACATCACTAGGAATAAATTGTTCATCAGATAGGAATGGATTCGTTCTCACATCGCCGAAGACCGACGACTTCGTGTTCGACGCGTTTGTTGATGGGTTTTTAAAGGAACCGTTCTGGAAACTCCTAGAGGCATTAGACGGAAAGCGTTGTTCACTGAGAGGATGAAAACCTGGCGGTGGTCTCACTGGCTGTTGTTGACAATGACTATCGTATTTTGGAAGCGTCGATTCGAATGAGACTAAAGGTACTTCGTGTTTCTCTTCTGTCGATGTGACTTTGTAGCAGTTTTCGGGCACCAGGCTATCCTCCGCAAAGCAATACGATGGTATAGCGCCCCTAGAGTTTACTACATACTTCAATAGGCCCGCCATGTTGACGGCATCAGCCTGAGTGACGAAAAAACAAAAAGGGAAAAGATCAGATAAAGTGATACATTCGAAATAAAATAATAACATTTTTTAATTATAAAAGAAAGTAAACAATCAAATTTAAAATTTCAGAAAGCAATGTTTGAATTTTAGATTTTAAAAAGTAAATGCTCAAATATATATATTGATGAATTTTTTAATAGGCTCGAGATAACCGATTAGGTAAACTACAATTCGGGAAAAATTATCACTTTATGAGATCGTAGTGTTACCACACACGTCGATTAGTATAATAAATGCACACGTATACTTTTGCACATTCAAATTTCTTTATTACAATGTGGTATAAAGTAGCAACTACAATCACAAATACACATAACACCACATAAGGTTCCAATTTTTCCCAGAATCATAAACCAGTAACTCAATATACATGTTACAAATTTGAAAAATAATTATAAAGATAAACACATATACTAGTAGTTGAATTTCATCAAAAAATTATATAATTATTAATAATATCTAAATACTTTAAAAATTACATATTAAAATTATATTAAAAATAATATAATTTAATATTACAACGTTTATTAGTAATAATTATAATAATCACTAATTACAATAACTATAATTTATATTATATTATTAATAATTATAATTTGTAACATTTCAATAATTATATAATGATAATACAATTTTAACTTAAATATTATGCGATTATAATTAAGTATGATACAAAATCATACAAACGCTTTTTTTTTACATAAAAAAGTTGTTTATTTTTACGATCTATAGCGCAAAATTTTCTCTCACGATAAAATTTTTAATTTCATCTTTCATTTTAAATTTCGGTTGAATTTGCAATTGTTACTTTAAACATTTCTTCGAGCTCAGAAAGAAAGTCAGACCCTGCACCTGCATCCCATTCACTGTCATCGGATGCTATATCGCAGTCATCAAAAATCAATGGAACAGGTTCTTTCTCAATTATATTCACATCATTTATTGTTTCGTACGTTTCAGATATACAATCAGATATATCGTCCCTCTTACTTTCGTCACTGTTATCATCTTTAACGCTTTCTTGGCTTAGATCATCAGAATCCAATTGGTCAGAATTATCAGGTACATTTTGCGTAATCTTTAACAATTTTTGCATTAAGTTCGAAATGTTCAACGTTTCATTTATTGTAATCAATGGATTGTTTGAATCATTAATATTACAGGATGACGTAACAACATCAGAGGACTGATTCTGATATTGTTTTGTGCTATCAGCATTAGAAGAAGCAAAAGAATCATTTTCCACACACAAAGACTGATCCAATAGACACTTCTTTGTATCATTAACGTTAGAAGAAACAATAGCATTAGAAGCAAAAGAATCATTTTCCAAAGACTGATTCAATAGACACTGCTTTGTATCATCAATGTTAGAAGAAATAATAGAATCTGTTTCCAAGGACGAAAGATCTCTTGTTTCTTCAGAATCGCTATGCGATTCATCTGTCAACTTCTTAGATAATTTCTCAGATAGGTACTTTTTGACTGTTGTGGAAGTATTCATCTCAATCACATTAGATGCCTTAAATTGTTCGTCATGCGATGAGATAATAGTATCGTCGGAGGTATTGCAACTATAAGATGACAACGGAATTTGTTCGCTGCTGGAAGATTTACTTATGTTAATGAAATTGGAGTTCATCGAATTCATCTGCTTGCGCTTCATTTTGTCCAATATTGTCTTAAATCTAGGATTATACGTTTTATTATTTGTATTGGATTGAGAGGAATCATTTGAACTGCATTCAGACATTTCTCTAGTTGTATTATCTATATTATTAGACATATTAAAGAAAACTGACTCTGAATCTGTATTCGAATCTTTGTCCCTTATTTTCTGATCAGCTTTTACTTTGCCATTGTACACTTTGTCATTTTTGTTCACCTTCTGATCAATTTCCTCTGAAGAAGCTATGTCAATGCGTTCAACAATATTTATGCTGGAATTCGTATCGTCAGATTGATTGTCATGCAATGTCTTGAGTTTTACGTTTGGTGTAAACATTACTGTGACAGTATGATCAGATACTGTATACAAGATATTGTCTTTCAGTATATCTAAAAAATCGGCATTTTCAACATTAGAATCAATATTATTTTCAGGTAAAAAGTTTTCATTTTCTAAAGAAGTCAAGTTTAAAAAATATTGTTTGCCAAGTAATTTATTTCTCTGATTATACGATTCCGATTTATCTTCTACATTGCTCTTACACTCTTTCGTTGATATAATAGTTCTGTGAGCAAGATTATTTTCCTGTCTTATTACTGACCAATCAATAGGTTCCATCAAGCCATGTCCGCCATATAAACTCCTAAACGTCCCGAAATCGTTCTGATCACTTTCATTGTCGGAATCTCTCGAAATGAAGTTCATAAAACCGTAACAAAGTTCATTGCTACACTGCGAGTCTTTTTTCCTGCTTGAATCGATTTGTCTTACATTATTTTCGTTTGCCTCGGATATGGAAGTCTTAGAATTAGAATTGAATATTCCATTAAGCTTCGATTTTTCTAATTTTTCTAACACTGAAATAAGTTCTTTAGGCGTCCTAGATCTCCTATTTTGCAAATATGATGAATTACTTGACTGCAATTTAGCATCCGATGACTTGGTATCCGAAAAACTATCCAATGATGTATTTAAAGAGTTAGCATCCAGATATTTAGTAGGTATAGATTTAACGGATGGAGATTTAGTATGATTAGTATTGTCATTTAAAGATTTGGCATTCGGTGATTTATTTGATAATAACTGCAGGACTTTTATTTTACTGGCCGGAATGTTATGCAAGGACTTGACAGTTTTCTGTTCAATATCTTCGCCTTTTACATCGGATAATACATGCATTCTTTCATCATACAATACTGATTGATCTCTACAGTGCTGTGATTTATTTATATTGTCTTCGCGTCTGATAGACGTAGAAAAGTCAAAATCGAACCTTAGATAATTTATTATGTCACATGTACCCACCATTTTACCAACTTGTGCTAGTTTCTCTTTCACTAACCAATTGTTTATACACACATCCTCTTCTTCACTTGTATCGGTCAAAACGACCATCATGGAATTGTACTATCAAAATAATCCGAAAATTAATTTAATAATAAATTTGTAATAACATTAAGTTACATAATTTAATGTTAAAAATTTAGAATTAAGATGTAATTGTTTCTTTAATATTAAAAATTAAAATAAAAAATTGATATAAATAAAATAATTATAGACATTAAAATAATAAAAACACAAAGATATCAATAATTACAAATATATATATATGTATATATAATTCAAAATTAAGAATTACAATACTTTAAATTGCAGAAGTAAAGAAAATAATCTCACCTGAGGATCAACAGTAATTATAGTTACAGCTAGAAGAGTGTCAGCGATTTTGTCGACAAATTTATCATTTACGCTCTTCTTCCACTTCTCATCAACATTTGGTTTAACATCATATAAACCACAAGGTATTGCTTGGGCAGGTAAAATGGAAAACTTTGAATGCAAATAATATAAATCTTGACCTGCATATGCCTTCACAGTGCCATAATCATAAAACCATACCTGTTTTAGAAGATAAAGTTGTTACATATCAAAACATAATTTCTAAACGTTTATGAAATTAAGTATTTGTTGAAAACTTATCATTATACTAACCGTTGCTCTGTTATCTACTTTTAATTTCTTAATGACTGCTCGATGCCACCTATCATCGTAAACGCATGCACAATGCATGTTCTCTTTCAAGGCAATATTTGGAATTGTATAATTATATTTGTTAAGTTCATAGAAATCACTGAAAACGAGACAATTTTTATTCAGATTTTAATACCAACATTAAAAAAACAATGTGCTAAGATTGATCAACTGCTCATATACTTACGATAGTTCATCCATCATGTTTTCAAATTGTTTTACGTTTTCTCGGAGATGTATCCAGAAAAAGCTCGGATTAAACACTTCTATAACATATATCTCTAAGTATTTTTTGGTGCATTTTAAATCAGTTACTAGTATTTTGTTTACATCATCGCCATAATTCATTACTTCGTCAGGAGCGTATTTCTTGGTAATTTTTGGCGACTGTAAAATTATAGATTATCATAGTCATTAAATTGTCATGTTGTATCACAAATAATAAACGTTCTTTTGACATTCATTATAATAAATATCAATTATTATAATAAACGTATCGTTTAATATAATAAACAAATTATATAAAAAATATAATTACTTAACTAAATTAATACAATATATAGATGTAAAGAAGAAAGCATTATAGATACATATATTTTTATGTATTATTATAAAATTTATGTTATTCATAAATTTTTATCCTTTTACTTAAATGTAATAACAATATACAAGATTTCTAATAAATATTGAAATAAATTTGAAATAAATATTAAACACAAATGAATTAATGTTTAACTTACATTATTTCATAGATCTTAATAATAATAAAAGAAAACAATAATTTTAACACTATCAATTACCCTTCCAATAGTTAAACTTATCTTCAAAGTACACAACAGTACATTTTCTGAAGATTTTTTTTGCGCAAAATATTATTTGAATATTAGACTTTTTGTACAATTATACAATTCAACAGAAATACTTTTTTTTCTTCGAAGTGTTGTAGTACATATCCCAAATTTTTTCTCGTTTTCAACATGATGCCATTATCAGAATTTGCATAGCACTTTAGGAATTATAGTATATAATACTAAAATAAAATAGATAAAAAAACCACCTCAATTTATTAAAAATCATGATGTGCTACACAAATTTTAACAACGGTGTCGTGTTCATAGTGAAAAAAATCTTCGGAATATGTACTATGGTGTGTATATTTCAAAGAAAATTGATTATTTGTTTAACTGTGTATAATTATATTATTATACAAAAAGTCTAAAATTCAAACAATCATAATTTAATAAAAATAAGTTGTTATTTATGATAATAAACTAAAATTTATTTAATAGTTCTTGAATTTACTTTTAGATGCTACAAATTTTATTTAGAAATTAGGTTTTTTTATTTTGCTGTAAAAAAAATATTAAAAATGGCTAAAAATTACGCTTTTGAGGCTTTCACGGATATTTTCTTCAATTATGCGAGAAGGTTTGCGGGTTATCGCATTAAAAATGAAGAAAGACACGGCGATAACCCGCAAACCTTCTCGCATAATGGCTAAAAATGTCTTTCTTTGTCTATTTTACTCAAAATTTTATCATGCTACGCCAATTTTATCAATAGTAGAATGTTCAAAGCAAAAAATTTTTGAGAAATGTTGTACTTTAGAGAGAAAAAAAAGTACTTTTGCCAAAGTGTTATCTCATAATTAATAATGTATCATATAACCAACAAGAATATATACTCTTTACTAGTAAATCCTAGAGCTAATTCTAAAATATCATTAAACAAATATACATATTATCAGTGAATAACTTATTACGTACAACTTTTGATGGGATTGGTGCTTTGTCATCATCATTATTGTATTGTGTTTGCGCTGTTCCACGTTCATCATATCGGTGATCTTGCGATGCACATGGTTCATTAGTAAGCTCCGTATTTGGAACTACTGGCCTCTTATCCGCACTATATAATTTAAAGTCATCAGTCTTCTTAACTTGCGTCATATAGAAAATTTTCGGTAAGTAAGACGTAAATTCGCGCACACTTGTGAAGCCTAGCTTGTTATAATTAAGGTGCACCTTGTATTCTTTAAGATATATGTCAGGCAGTTCAGCACACCAGATGCCATTCGGATATTTTTGCAGTAACTCCCTCAATCGAGTCTTTATTCTGTCGCTTACTATCTCGGATTTGTCCTGTGAACATTCAGTAGCTCTCATTTCCGTATTGTTGTAATTCATTGGAAAGTAATCATTTTCATTGATTTCAATATCATCTTCATTCTTGTTGTAATTGAACATGTCAGTTTGTTCGGATTTTACGTGCTGTGCAAGATTTGTTACAAGCAGCTCGCTTGTTTTTGCACGTTTTTTGCAATTATTGATGTTGTTGCTACTAGTATGGACTGATACGAAATCACCTTCATCACTAAAATACTCTACCCACTCAAAGTCTTCCTGTCCGGCAGCATATTCAGTTTGTTTCGGGGGCAAGATTGAATCGCTCGATAACTCTGGCTCGTTCCAGAACTGCGTTGATGGCGTTTCTATTAAAGGTCGTCGGTTACTTGGTTGCTGGACTACGTTACTTTGCAAACCATTCTGGACCGCATATATCATGTAGCCATCCATGCACAACTGATGCGATAGCTCATACAGTTGTGTATGCAAATCAGATGAAGAGATATTAACATGTGGTACTAACTGTTGTGCGTATAGTACAGCGTTTTGCAAACTCACACCATTTGGATTACTTTTGATATACTGAACAAGAAGACATAACTTGTCAGGTGTGAGTCTAACTTGTTGAAACCTTGTGTGCTGATTTCGACGATTGAATGTAGTTGCCTGACGAAGTGGATATTTGATTCTTGAGTTGGTGGTAGTTTTCTGGCGTGACACCAACGAACTCACATGCTTACTTTTATTCGCTATCCCGCGTACGTAGTGAATACCTTCATATTCTTCGACAACAAAATGATCAGGCATACTTTGTAGAAAATGTACTAAATTGTTATAACCAAATTTTTTATATGGTATACGTTTCTTCTCTATTTCATAATAATCTCTCTCAAGAACAGTTACAGGGGTCGAACCTTTCCTGGCGATTAATAATGACAGGACAAGCGTACGAATTTCGTCTTGGTTCGCCATCTCTGTTTAGTAAAAAAAAAAAAACGTATTATTATCTTATAGAATAAAAAAACAAAAATGTTATAATTACCCTTACACTATCACTCTATATTTGCCATAAAAAAATCTACCATGTTCGAGTAAAATTTAATTAGTTGTCTATTATGATTCAAAATTTTTCGACTACATTGGATTTAGATTTTTTTTATCCAACTGATTACAATCCGACTTCTTCAAGACCCTGTCGAAATGGTAAACACTTCAAAAATAAGTAATCCAAGTAAATTTGACTAGTGTATAGGCTTAATAAAATTTTATAAATTCAAATTATCTTATAATCTATCTATATAGCAAAAATATTAATTTTTATGTTTGAAAGTATATGTATCGAATGATCAATACTATAAATATAAAATGATATTTATAATCCATCTAAAATCTATTCTTTGTAGCTGAGATTGTATACATTCATACAGAACATGAGTTTAACAAAAGCGAGATTAAAAGTTTTAATGTAATCCAATGCAGCCAAAAGATCTGTTATTTTAGATTAATTTCTTACTTAGTTACTTCACTATGAAAAGATATAATACAAAAAATTGAAAAGAATAGATCTAAAGAACAGCATCTAGTGTCACATGGTGTTTCTAAGTTGACTTTAAATGATTTTTATATCAAAATGTGATAAATCATCAAAGAAAATTATAAATAGAAATGCATCTTCTATTCTGAAATCTGACATATATTATCAATTCAACTTTTTTTATGTTTATGAGATTTAAATTTGATTTTAGAATATATTTTACTACTAAATTTAGTTACTAATGTTATTTTAATGCTATTTTAATTGCTAGTTAATTATATCATTAATCCATAATTGGAGAATATGGATTCTTTGGAACTTTTTATAATTATTAAATTATAATAATTTGGAATAATGTTGCTGCTTTACAATCTTATTTTTCATTATTTAGAACTTGAAAAATTCTTTAAAAAAATAATACTAATAATATTACAAGAGAACTACTATTTAGATTGAAGTTGTATATTGAAATAATACATCTATGAATTTAAAATAAAATATGAATATATATATATATATTCATATTTTATTTTAAATTCATAGATATGTATATATATATATCTATGAATAAGAAAAAACTAATAAAACAATGAAAATTTTAAGAAATACCAAAAATCTTCCTAGTATTGAAAGTATTTCTCTTTACCTGAACTTCTTGAAAATGACCTATGCTATAGAAATTCAGGTAAAAAAGATAAGACCTTTTACTGTGAGTCAAGAAAATGTCTACTTAAGCTAGAGTTTCAAGTAAAAAATAAGATTAAGATTCGAAGCTTGTATGATTTCAGAATATAAATTCATTTAATATTCACAAATAATAGCATAATTAATAACTGAGAACAGAAACAAAAAATAATCTAACCTTAAATGAGGTATATGTGTTAAAGAAAATTAAGTCGAAAAAAATGATGACGATAAATTATCTCGTGGAATAAAACAAAGTAATATTTAAAAACTGATACGTTCAACTTTTTTGTATAAAGGCTTATATACAAAAACGAGACTGCATGCAAAATGCAACTTACTCATCTTTTTGCAAGCGTTGATAGTTCACAATAAACATCGAGGTTTAGGGCTCAAGCGGATTAGATTGCATATCGAATAACGCTTATGCATGCTGTAGAGTGTAAGTATAAAACATGGAAATAGGTTAGATAAAACAGAAAGCTTTCCAGATTTGTTAAAATAAGGAAAAGTTCTCGATTACGAAAAGAAACGATAGTTTTTTGCCATTTGCAAAGTTTTATCTTACCTAAGGAAGGTTTTCTTTGTGGAAAAAAAACAATTTAATGCGCCTAATTCTCAATTAATCGTCGCTTTACTTGTTTGGACTCGTCTAGTCGTCTGAAAAACGACAATATGTGGCGCTGTATGTAATGTAAATGGCGAAAATTTCAATCCAGTATTCTTCCTTCTTTAAAGAAAAACAAAGCTTGTGTCTACATCGAGAAGCAAAGAAAAAAAATTGAGGAAAACTAAACACGTATAAAAATTATACGACTATGTTTTTAGCTAGCTTCAGCAGAACTGAAGAATATAATTTTCTACCTTCTCAGTTTTCACAATTAGATCCAACCGGTCCAACATTCAACATTCCTTTTGGCTCCTTTAAAGTTTAACGAAATACATAAAAATTTTTGAATATGTAGAGCAGTGCTAACAACATTAGGTTCGTTTGCGTTGCTTAAAATCCCTGAAAATTTTAGCACTGCAAGAGCTGGCAAGAGTCTCTAGAATTGGCCAATCGCATCTGTTGTCGACAAATGCGATTGGTCAATTCCAATGGACTGCAGTCCAATGTTCACAATAGGCCTGTTCTTTTTACTGAACTGGTGCACAGAGTGCAATAAGTTGAAGTGAAACAGATATACGTTTATTTCACTTCAACTTATTGCACTATCTGCACCAGTTCAGACAGTGCAGGCAAAAAGAACAAGCCTAAAGCGGGGAGCACAGACTTTTGCATAACGCATAAAGCATGTGCATAAGGAATTTCATTGGCCCATTTTCTTATGCATGAGTCAATGGACCATTCAAATTCTTTATGTATATGGTTTATGCGTTATGCAAAGTCTGTGCTCCTCTTTTAAGCCCGGATCCTCATACGGACAACAGCGCTTTGACACCGGACACTGATTGGTGAAAAACGGGTTATGGGGGTAAATTTTACCCTCGCCACCGGTTTTTCACCAATCAGCGTTTGGTGTCAAAGCGCTGTTGCCCGTATGAGGATCCGGGTTAATGCTAGAACTCGGTCTGAATTTTTAGACCAAGAAATGTGTAGCCAATCATTTCGATTCTTTAGATTTGAAAACTACATGTTGATTTCAAACACATTTCTCTGAAATTAAGGAACTCAGAGCGAGTTCTAGCATGCGTTCCGTTTCGCACATGATGCGCATGGTGCATCAATTGTCCTTGTTTAACATTTGATGAGCAACGAAAATAAACGACGCATTATACACATCATGCGAGAAACGGAACGCACCTAGATACTTTACAGCATGGACGCGCATCATCATCGATGATTGGCCGTAGAATAGAGAATATATGAGGAAAGGGATTCAAAATCTTTGACAGCTTTCCCCCTTTTTTCAATAAATCAATCAGTACGTTCGAAATACTCATACGATATAGTTACTTAAAAAATAATTAAATAATACTTAAAAAAATAAACTTATAAACATAAGATCTCTGACTACATACGATTATTGTTTTTAAATTACTTTTATGTTCAGTTCTATCAATGAAAATTAATTTTTATTTTATTTTAATTTAATCTTCATTTTTTTCAAATGTTTGAAACTAGAAAAAAATTAAAAACAGATTAAGATTAAAAGTTAAACTGCAATATTGGTAGAAATAAATATAGATACTATTAACTATGATAATACTGGAATATATGTAAATCCAATTTTTGAATTTTTCTCCATTTTTTCAAAAAATGAGAAAAAAGACGTATAGATCTGTTTTTTCCTTGTTGCATTGATATACACACATACACACACATACACACACATGCACGCACATTATTTTAACATATATAACTGTAATACTTTAACTAATTTAACTAATAATTTAACTATATTTTTTCTCAAAAATAATTTACAATGTTAAAATTAATGTCAGAAATATAAAGGTATCATGCAAGTTCATTTCATATTTTACTAATATGTACATACATACAACGTATCTTATCATAAAATATATGATACGTTTGGAATGCAAAACACCACCCCATAAAAGATAACTACATATACTATATGATCATTTCAACAACTTTTTACGCTCATGCTATTTTTTATTTTGATTTATTTGAATTAAATGAATTAAATTACAGATAAGAAATAACGTAAATTATAACATTTAATATTTATAATATTATATACTTTAATATTTTTGAAATCAATAATGAGCAATTAAAAATATTATCTCCCCCTCTGTTTCTTTCTATTTTTAAATTATTGATATATACAGATATATAAGCTCATCTTTTAGTGTGTATGATAAAATTAACTTATAAAATAAAAAATATAAAAAAGATATAATATTAATCTCTTGTCTTCCTTTTTAATTCTTGCCTCTAATAAGAATTAAATAATTATGTAGAAATAGAATAGGTAGAAAGCTAATTAATTATTAATTAGATCATTATTCTCTTTCATGATTTAGAATAAAAGTGTGTGACTTAATTATATTTACTCTTATATATTTCTGTTAATTCTTTTTAATCTTCATAGGAATAATAAACTTCCCCTAATCCGTCGATTTTCACAGATATCGTCGAGGTGTTTTCTATTATATATTTTCGTCTTCCATTCGTATCAATAAAAATTAATTGCGATCATAACGTGGACGAAAAGATTCACTTTTGTGCTCAAAATGATTTGGGCTGCATTTCGTAAAGCGTATGATACCATATGATATTTCATTTTATATCTCTATTGTTCACTAAATTTAAATAAGAATAAATGATACATCATGCACACTATATACATTGACCACATGCACCGTGTTGCTGTCCACGTTAAAGTCGCCATAATTTCCATTGTAGAAAATAGAAAACTAAAATTTTAAAAAATGTACCTTAAAAATGCAGCCGTGCATTATCTATATAGACACTTATATTTATCGTTTTCAAGCTTTAGATAATATGGAGTATTAGTGATGAGAAAGCACTTTTTTGGGTTATTATAAGCAGGATTTTTTTTTCATAAATAATTTGCTCTCGTAAACTTTAAATATTTTAAAGTTAAAGTCAAAGGAAATTTAAAACCTCACACAGAGCATATAAAGGCTTCATCACTTTATCCTGAATTTTATTAGACTTCTTCTATACATAAATTTTTCTGGCTCACGAAAAGGAAATACTAGATAGAAAATAACTGTTAAAGACCAAAGATATAGAAAATAATTGCTTTCTTATAAAAAAATTTAATAATTATGTCACCGCGTTAAACGAAAATACAATTAAACTCTTTACAGAAGACTAAAAGAAAATGAAGACACAAATTAGATTATCTCAAAATCTTTTTTAAATTTTGCGTGTATTTATTATTACAATTCTAACGAAATTACAGACTATTTTTCCCCAACTCTATTTTTACATTATCATTTATTTTTGAAATATCTAATCGGTCAATATCATGATCAGACATGATAATCAGATAACACTTTAAGTAATTTCTCTAAAACATAAAATTATTTACTAGCAGAAACAAAAAAAATGTTAGATTTATTTCGCATACAACTGACGTACATAAACAAGGTAAACGTCTTGTTGATGTATGTCAGTTGTATGCGGACAGAATAAAACTTCGAAATATATTTTATGTGTATGCACTCAGTTAGAGGATTACAATAATATGAGAAAAATATTATTTTATCAAACACGTTTGCAACAAATTTCCTTGGCAAAAATGACAACAAATGTAATGCAAAATCTGTTAAATTGACTCTAAATTTGCAGAAATAAAACAAAATAACAGCGAAAATACAACAAAATTTGTTAAAGTGAGAGCGAAGCAAGTTTGGTTGATTGGTATTTGCTGCCAATTTGCGGTCATATTGTGCTGTGCATATTTTCGTTCGGGTTTTCCTATCTATTTGTAGCTGTTATGCCAGCAAATCTTACACGATATTTAATGATAACTTGCTCTCATTTCTTAAATGAAAATTTTACAAGTTAAACAATATTTTATTCTTTTTATAACAAAGACACGGATGACACCGGTTTTAATACAAAACTTGATTGAATTTGTTGCCAATTTGCAAGCGTATTACTATCACTTAATTTGCTTAGGCCCGATTGCACCAACATGATTTCGATTTTAAGCGTGATTTAAACTGTCTCTGTCTCTGTCTATCTTTCAGCTTTAATACGAAATACAGTTTTAAGTCTCGTTTAAAATTAAGTAATGTTGGTGCAACCGGGCCTTCGGGATCAGCAACTGTTACTATGATTAATCATCGAATGCGTACATATATGTCTGAAAAATATTTGTACGGTGAACAATCGATATTCTTTTATGTCTTATCTGATTATTAAGTACAATCGGAATGTTGCCTTTTCAGTCGAACGATCAATACTATTTATTGTGTACGCAATTAAGAATTATAATTAATTTAAGTTGATTAATTAAATATTGATAATTGATTAATTAACTAAATTGATTAATTAAATATTAATAATTTATTAATATATTAAGTTTCTTATGTAAAAAAGAAAAAAGAAAAACGTTATAATAAAATGCAAAATTATAAATACACGCAGATAAGCAATATGCACATAAGTATATCTTGATCACTTTTTACTGGTATAATAATTACACTGGTATAATTATTAGAATAGTGATGTTATTTGCATTGACATCACATACATTTTCATTATATATATATAATATTGACAAAAAAGAGTAGTTCAGATAATTATATATTATTTGCTTCATGAATATCTAAAAAGTTTATTACAAAATCGTATAAAAAATTTTAGTAACAAAAAAGTTTAATAAATAAGCATAATAAATAATAATAAGGCTCTGTAAGTATAAAACAAAATAGAACAATTGAAGGGCTAAAAGCCAGTAAATGGATTTTAGCCCTTGCAAAGATTTTAGATTTTGACGCTGATCCAAAGATCTCTATCAAACTTTGCTTTAGAAAAACGATTAAAACATTTAATGACTCTCTGTTCAGTAAAAAACGCAGCTTTGCAACTATTGCAAAATTTTTTCATATGATTAATTATATATTTATGATTCAGCAAAAAATAAAGGACAAAATTCAATCATATACACTGGCCAATTAACGCAATACCTGTTTCACTCTGCAAAAATAGGCAAATTTTAAGATAGAATAACTTTATCAAAAATCATCGTACTGAAATGTTTAAAAAAACAATTTATAAATGACCCTTTTGCTTCAATGTTGAATAACTCGGTGAAAAAAAATGATGTTTTTTAAACATCTCGATACGACGATTTATGACGAAGTTATTCTATCTTGAAATTTACCTATTTTTGCAAAGTGAAACAGGTGTCGCGTTAATTTCGTTGGCCAGTGTATATTAAAAGAGTTTGTTACAACAGTTGGAAAGTTGCTTTTTCTGTTGAACGCAGCCTATTACATTTAAAAGAGGTATACCTATATGATATTAAATAATACAAATATTTAAAGCAGTATTTAAAAAGTGTTTTTTTTTTTAATTTTTCATGAATTTGTTTTAATATATATATATATATATCGTGACAAGTATATCCTCAATAACTAAAATTAGTGTCTTCGTGTCTAAGCCGAGACCGGGGATTGCAGCTAGTATATAAGTATAGTGATAAGTAGGGGGTAGAACACGCGGAGAGGGTCGAGGGTCTCTCTCTCCCTCTTTGCAAACGGCACGGAAACGTTTGTCGTCGGACGACGGCATTGAAGGCAGTGCTTCGCTTGCGCAGCAGTGAGCAGCGTGTCACGTCGCGTTCAGCTCCGAGGGACCCTGTCGTCGCGTCGGAAGCCCCGCCAAGTCTCGGGCGAGGGAGCGGCGATAAAGGCCGTAATAAAGTCGCGTGAACGTAATCGTCGCGGGGCAGAAAAAAAAAGAAACGAAGAGAAAGAAAGAACGGAAAAGGCTCGCGTGTTCAAAGTTTGAATCTGTCTCACGTCGTCGTCCCTCCGGCCGCGGAAGATGGCTCCGTCGTGTTTCGAGGTGATCCTCGTCGGCTTTATCCTCGTGCTGCCGTTTCTCTACGAGACCAGCCGCACCTTCCGCTATTACTTCAAATTCCTCATTTACTATGGTGTCGTGATGGTGATCGCAGTCGTGCTCATGCCCATCCTCTCGTTGCGGCCTGGCAATGTCAAGAACTTCCTGTTAGTACCTCCGCAATCGATCGATATTATTATATTATCACGTATTAAGTTGCGTCTCTGTCTTCGATTCTCTCCCCGTTCAACAACCGCACCACCTTCGACGCTTCTCTCGCGCGCGTCTTTGTTTTTATTTTCTCGCAGCGGAGTTTGACAGCCGTCGCGGCGGCCGTAGACCGCCACGAGAACTTATTGACCGGTGTTCGCTGCCTGTTCTGTCAGTGGGTGGCGGTGATATGATGATGGTGGTGTTTGTAGTTGTTGCTCTGCCGAGTACTGTGACGAGCGACAACGATGCTGGTGCGGGAGAAAGGGAGGGAAGGATTTAAACTTGGTGTGCCCTCGGAGATATGATATGCCATATGGGAGAAAATGAGTCTCTTCCCATAATAATGGCAGCTTTCCGTCACAAATAAAATGATAAATGTCCAATACTTATGTCGTCTCGGCATTCATGGTAGAGACAATCGCTCCGAAGAAAATGTATGGGGACTAATTATTGAGGGATGGTTGAGTGGAGATCAGTGACACTCCCAACAATAACGACTGCTATATTTAGCTTGTTGACAATGAATATTTTCGCTAGCTATATATATTAATGTACTTGAATGTGTAGTACTCAGACATTTGAAGTACTACTTTGTACTATCAAGTGTTAACACTGAATCTGACAATGAGTATCAATTGAATCTATTAAAATTTCTATATATATGGGTGCTTTTCATAGTGATATAAGTTGATACAACAACGATGTATATGTATCTTCGTTATACTTGTTGAATGTTAAGAAAAAATAATATTTACATTACTAAATGGAAAGCACCCTACACTAACAACACTAATCCTTGTTAATTAAATTAGTAAGTGGCGAAGAGATAATTCGTGAAATCTATGCAATATTTCAATATCTTGACATTAAAATTTCTTAAATTAAATTAGATTTTTTTATCGATTGATTAATTAAAATTTGTATATATTACAATAGCATTAATGTTTATTAATAAGGAATAATTAGAAAAGGGAGGATAAATTTGTAGAAATCGTTGCGATTATACTTCGACATATTGGACTTGAATTTCTTTAAAATGCTAAATATTGGAAATTTGTGAATTTTTTAAAATATAGCTCTTTAACAAAATTGATGGTTTTACTATCATTTTACTTTGTTTAATGTTACCTTTATTGAAGTTATTTTTTTCAGAAATTGTTTTCCGTGTAATTATACGTTATCAAACCGTTTCCTCCTCTTGAGAACGCACTTTTATCGATAATAATTGCATATTTGTATTTTTGAAGCTCTATATGTATATACAATAGTATACATAATTATATGCTAAATGTGCGCTAACATCATGATAAAACCGCTGAGTGAGTTTCAAGTCTAAAATTAAAAAAAAAAATAAAGATAAGAAATGACATTTATTTTTCATAAATACAAAGGCGAAATAAATCGTTGACTGCTTTCTCTGCTGAACGCAGTCGTTGAATGAATGGGTTGTCTTCATGCATCCATTCTTATACGTGAACCTCGTTCACTGAATTATACGTAGCGATCAACGAACTTTGAAGAAATGCATAGTACAAAGTTCTAAAGAGAAATAGAATTTATCTAATGTTCGAAGCGTTCTAAACAGCTCTCGATAAGTATTTTTTTATATTGACTTGTACCTTTGAAATTAACTTAAAGAGAAATGAATCAATACAGTAAATTTACAATTAAACCTTGAAAGATTATCTAGTCCAAAATATTGAAGAATTTTGTATTTTTTTCTTAATACTTTGTAATTGTATGTAATTTTTTTATGTTGTTTCAGGTTAATTGTATACTTAATGAAGATAAAAATTTTCGATAAAAATTAATAATTCTTAATAATAAAAAAACAGAGTGTACTGAGATTTAAAGAACTGTTTTTTTTCATAGTGCCTACAACTAGTTATTCGTAATTATAAAATAAGTGCTTAAAATTGACTTCATTAAAATCCTGATGTAATTTTTTGCAGAATATATCCATGATTATAAAATATAAACAGGAAAATAAAGTGATGAAAGAAAAGAAAGAAATCGAATAAATTTGGTTTACATAATTATTTAATTTATACTCAATTTATATTCAATTTTAATTTATTAATACGTTCGCGTGAAAAGTACGTTATCTCAACATTATTTTGTTATTTTATCTTTATTATTAGACGTAAAATAAAAATAGAATAACATCACACATTAATAATGCGTTTTTTAATAAACGCAATTGTAGTGTTACATAACTTTTGACTAATAAACAATTAATGCATCATTTAAAACATGCAGAGTGAGCTTTACCGTAAGAAGTAAATGTAAGAAATTGCCTAATGGCACAGTTCAATATGAGAAAAATAATTATTTTTTTATGATATTGATCGATTATGATCGGCTAATTTCTTACTTGTACTTCTTATTTCATATATTGTAGACGAAGACGACGCATACCAGCATGGATCTATTCCGACAAAGTAATTGAAAACATTGTCAACTACAATAATTTCGTCAATATCACAACACTAAAAAATTATTTATAGAAAAGGTGGAGTTTTATTTGCACGATTTTTACGCGTATCAAAATTTTCTACATAAATATTATACGCACGAAAAATAAATATTTATCTTGCAATATTCACGAGAAAAAATTGAAATATTTAAAAAACAAACGAGACACATTTTAGATGTTTAATTTTTTTCATACAATTGCATATAAGGAAGTTCATTAATTATATTTTGTAGCATCGCGGTAATTATGCTTGAACTTAGGAAGATTCTTTTACGTGTAAGATTTACGTATAAGATTCTCTTGCCTGCGCGTCTCATATTAGCCAATAAAATAAAATTATTGCTTTATCGAGTTAATTTTATTACTGGTATTATTATGGGAGAATATTTTTCCTTCTTGCAGAATGGCATCGTGGTCGTGTCATCACATTAATACTCTGCTAGGTCTACGATGGGAGCTGCGAGGAAGGGAGCACTTAGAGAAGAATAGGGCTTGTATAATTGTTGCAAATCACCAAAGCTCATTAGACATATTGGGGATGTTTGATGTTTGGCCGGTAATGGATAAGTGCACTGTCGTTGCCAAAAAAGAAATTTTCTATGCATGGCCAGTCGGCCTGGCCGCATGGTTATGCGGACTGATTTTCATCGACAGAATGAATTCCGAGAAAGCACGATCCGCCCTCAATACCGCTACGAAGGAGATCAAGGAAAAGAAGGTAATATAAAGGATAATCACGCGTGGAATGTTCGTGTTGACTATCGTTTGCTTTCTATTATACTTCTCATCGCTTCACAGGTGAAATTGTGGATATTTCCCGAAGGAACTAGACGTAACACTGGTGAGATACATCCGTTTAAGAAGGGTGCCTTCCATGTCGCGATCAGATCGCAGTTACCCATACTACCGGTCGTATTCTCTTCTTATTATTTTTTATGCGCAAAAGAGAAGAGATTTGATTCTGGTAAGTAAATTGTAAGACTACAAAAAATGGAAAGTTGAAAAATATTAAAAATAAGAAGAAAATTTGTAGAAGAGTTAAATCCTTTGAAGAATTAAATCTCAAGTTAAACTTAATAAACCTCCCAGGTCAAGAACAATTTTATTTGGTTAAATCTCAAGGATATAGATTGATAACTTAATTTTATGCTCCATATGCTTTTGATCGAGATTTTACTTGCATTTTAACTCTTATTTCAAAAAAGTACCTATTATGGAATGTCACATGCTTTTTATACTTCAAGATTTATTTTAGCCTGTTTAGACGTTAACATTCTTCTTACTTTCTTTCTATAAATCAATTTGATGTTTGGTGTATATATACATATATTATATATTAGTTTCGAAATGTCTATTCGAGCAATCAACCTTTTGACTTATGGCGCATGATGGTATAACGTTAAATATTGTATCAATAGACAAATAGAGGATTATCATCATTGCAACACGAAATCGAACTGAAAATAGTCATTGAAATTTTTCAAGAGACACTGTACTATCTCGCGCCAAAAGTAAACGCGAAGCGAGATATATTTTTAAATCACTTTTTGAAAAATATTGCATGTTAAGGGGGGAAGGGTCGCGTGATACATTCATTTGTCATATCGTCATACCTGAGCGCGTAAAATGTCAGCTCTGTGATTAGCTAAATTTAATTGCTATTATATCTTTAACATTTTTATATTAAAATTTTTATCATAAAATTATCTCAAAAATACGTCTTTAAAAAGAATAAAATGAGATGAAGAAAATTTAATTCGGCTAAATAGGGGTCAGCGCGGTAAAACGTGCGCAAATTTGTAAAAAAAAAATTATTTAATGAAACATAAGATACGTGATTACATCGACGTTCGATATTTCCATAATATGGTAATCACGTATCTTATGTTTTATTAAACTCTTTTTTTTCTACAAATTTGCGCACTTCTTACCGCGCTGACTCCTATTTAGCTGAATTAAATTTTCTTCGTTTTATTGAAATATAAGAAGTCCATTATTAATTATTGTATTGAATATAATAAGAATAACATAATATGTATACATATAATATGTATGTATATATAGATTTATAAGAGATATTTAACGTTGCAAAATGCGAGATATCTCAATAAAATTATCTTTTTAAAAAAAGGAAATAAAGGTACCAAGTGTTTACCTCATAAAAAACCGTTACATATATTATTACAATATACCGTTACATAGATTATTACAATATACAAGGATGAAATAAAATCTTTACATTGCGAAAGGAATATGTTTTTTGCCACATACATAACATATACTTTATTTCAAAAAATAAAAGTACAAAACTGCTAATCTCAAAATATGCAATAGTAAGATGGTTATTAAACACAATACCGAATAAGAAAAATAACGAAAAGAAAGAAATGCAGTATTAAGATTTATGCAGATTATTAAGACATAGTATATATAGTGTCTCGTTCCAAGTAAACGCACAGCGTGAGATCGTGAGATTTTGTATAGAATAAGTATAAATAAATACATGTACAAAAAATCAAGGATACAGTATTATACATGAATGAGTTATATTAATTTAAAAATAAACATTAAACTACATTCCCTTCTTTTATGTAACATTCACTTATTATATTTTAAAGTCTAGCAGCGCCAAGTTTTTTGTACTTTTATTTTTTCAAATAAAGTATATGTTATATATGTGGCAAGAAAATATATTTCTTTCACAATTGGCGCAATTTAAAGATTTCATTTCATTTTTTGTATACTGTAATAATATATGTAACGGTTTTTTGTGAAGCGAAAGCACATTTGGCGCGTTTATTCCCTTTTTTTTAAAAAGGTAATTTTGTTGAGATTAGAAATAACTGAATCATTAAAAATTTAATTTTATCTTCATAAATGCTTAAAAAAAATCCTCCAGCAACACTAACTAAAAAGAATATAACATCTTTGCACTTAACAATATGATTTCTAATATCAGTTCTAAAATTAAAATCTTTCTTAGCTAAGGAGTTTTCGGGTATTGATATAAGGATTAATCAGTGTGATACATGTATAAAATAAAAAGTTAGAACTTAGTGACTTATCGAATAATAGAATTATTCTCTAGAAGAAGCAATCTGTAAAAATAATTTTTTTATTAAAAATTAGGTATAATATAAATAAGGCTACGAGCCAAAAATATATATATTTAAATCAATAACAAAACACTAAAGAATATAATAAATACATCGAAAAGACATAATAATCGAAAAGATATATTATAAACAATTATTACAGAAACAAAAGATTGATAAACAGACGTTTCGACCTTGCTTGGGTCATTTTCAACGTTATCTAACGTTTTTATATAATGACTTGACAACATCTTATTTCCAACTTTGTTCCATGACAGGTACCCTGAACGCATTATCTCGACTAATAAAACACACTAACGAAATTATTGGAATTATAACTTCATTATATAATGTTGCTGTGTTACATTGTATTAAGCTTTTGATTGTATCTCTACACCATCAAAGTAAAGTAACCTGTTGATTTTCATCTTTCAATTGTAGAGAATAAAACTACTATTGCAATGTCAGTAATCAGCAACATCGCTAACATCTCATATTATGCAGCTAGGAATGGTGCAACAAGTAATTCATTATTTTATAAGGTTCGCTAATTATCATTTAAATTTATACGTTTTAATATTGAGGATGACCCAAGCGAGGTCGAAACGTCTGTTTATCAATCTTTTGTGTTTCTGTAATAATTGTTTATAACACGATTATAATGTCTTTTCGATGTATCTATTATATTCTTTAGTGTTTTGTTATTGATTTAAATATATTTTTTTTTGGTTCGTAGCCTTTATATTATATCTAATTTTTAATTTATTGAGCCATAGTATCTACATTATATAATTTCTTTAATTATCGGAAATTTGTACGAGATTACCAGAAGCAATAAAATTCACTTAATTAAAGGACGCATTCTCGTGACGACATTACCACCCATTTCAACTGAGGGACTCAGTACGGACGACGTAGAAGAATTAATGGAAAAGACACGAAGCGCCATGAGTGAAGTATTTCACGCGACGAGTCGCGAAATTCAACAATCTCTTCCTGTTCGGTAAGAGTACATCGAATGATCATTATTGAACTTTAACGGACTCGTCTTATTAAAAAAAGAGCAAATATATGCTTACTTCTTTACAAGTCCTGGCGAAAAAGAAAAATGTTTACGAAAGATTAAAAACCTAAAAACCACATAGATTGAAACAAGATCTTAGAAATTCTTAATTTTTCATAGATTTCGTAGTAAGATGTAGAGTGGCGTTGTTCGAAGGCGAAAGGTTTCTTGGTTTATCAAATAAACAACACTACTCTACATCTCACTATGAATATCTACAAAAAACTAAAAATTTCTAAGATCTCAATCTATGTGGTTTTTTTATAAAAATGTTTCCATCAGAGGAAGAGTATTAGCAAATAAGTCTTCACGCGGGAACCAAAGACTTAGCATTCGAATAGCGTTCTCTTATTGCGTTATTGGTATAATGTATAATAGTATTATAGTATCCTAATTTATATTTTAATCTCCCCGACTCAGAGAAAGTAGATAGTATTAGAATTTTCTATGGTACTCGTCTACATTCTTCTCGTATTTTAATTTGTTTATTCATTATTGCATAAATCTCGCGAGAATTTCGGCGAGAATTTGAACAATTCTTCAGTATTAATGACTAACAAATAAATCGAGTAATCTTTATGGCTCATGTATCTATACATTTTGCATATATAGAGTTTATGGGCGATTTGGTTCTTGCATAAAACGAACTTCACGTAGCACAGCAGTCTACAAAGCACTCAGAAAGTGCTTTCTATGCGCTGCTGTGCTACGTACGTTTTAGTTTAAAGACACGTATTTTAAAATGAAAGGAAAAAATGCGTGTGGCAAAATAAGTTAAAAGAGTTATATGCATCACTGAAGAATTACAAAAGTATCATTCTTAATTAGATGTAATTTGAAAAAATTGCATACGGTAAATTCTTAAAGTATATAGTATATACTCTTATATATATACCGTGGACGCGAAAGCAGAAGAGAGAGAAAAAAAGAAACTTTCGATATGTATATCATGATTTTTCGTAGTTACTGATTGTAAATATAATTAGAATGCATTTTTGTATAAATTGTGGAAACATTGTTAACGTTTATACTTAAAGATTTGTACTAAATTCCACTAGATATATTTTGGTATGTATAAGGTACGCTTGTACATTCCCACTTGTCTGTTTTATGCTTCCATTCGTTTATCTAAAGTGATTAAAAAAAATCAAGGTACATGTAATGACAGGGAAAAAATGCTTTAATTTTAAATATTTAAAAAAGAGGAGAAATTTTAATATTCTGTCGGATGATCTTCCGAATGTATATTTCCTCTGAAGTATGAAATGTAATTTCTGTTGTTGATTGATTTATTGTAAATCGAGATAATTCTTCATAATTCAGATAATAAGAGAAATAATATTTTAATCGACAGATAATATATTAACTATTAGCCTTAAATATATTATATTCACACTGTGCTACAATGTATATACACACTCTATAGACAACAAAGCGTCTAAAATCGGATCATAAGATGTTTTTTTAATTAAAAAACGATAAAATCTTCACTTCAATAATAAAAAAATTACACGTAATCTCAATAACCGGTGTACCGATTGTAGAATTTCCTTGTATGTCTTTAGATCCTTTCTCGATTCTTCGATTTAGTTTTTCATGTCTTTGATTAATAATGTGTACAGCTGAAGACTTCTTATCTATCTTATCTATTCTTATATACAAAAGATTCACGACAATATTCTTTGTACGTTACGAGAAAGGTGCGTGAGTGTAACATACAGGGATACATTCCTGTGTTGTGTTCGCATTATGTGTTTGTGATAAATTGAAATGGCGTTATCAACTTTTTGTCTATCCAAATCTATACCATAAGATATCTCCCTTTTTCATCTTTCCAATAAGAAATTCGTATAAGTATCTCTGTTATTGAATAACCGCATAGTAGTCAACTTTGACAATTGAAAATTCAAAACTTTTCCTAATATATTTTTAGATAAACACTTGAATTTACGTGAAATAATGAATATTCGGAAACGTTTGACGTTATTTTGAAAGGAAGAGACAATTGAAACAAAAAACACAAAATAGGTACCTAAAGACATCTTATGTTACAATTTTAGACTTTGGCTGGTATTCATAATCAGTACTTATATTCAAGACCATCTTAAGTTCAGTTCTGAGGTATCATGAACCAATCAGACAACTGTATTAGCATCTTAAGACATTACTTAAAACGGTCTTAAAATAAGAACGGACTATGAATACCGCTCTTTGTGTTGTTTGGAACGTTTTCACCTATTATTAGTCGTAATTGCGATATTGCGAAAATGATCGGCAATTTTATCGACATTAAACTTTAGACCTCGGGCATTTCTCTAAATAATTTATTGCACGTACTTTAATTGAAATACGTCTCTATTCTCTGTATATCTATAATGTAGATGAAATGTCATATTCTACATTAAGAAGTTACGACATTATCTTTGACATAATCTTTGACATTATTTTCCAAAAATAGCGATTGTGTTCAGTTTAGCATAGCTTACATTTTTTGCTAATAACTTATCAGTAGTATTCTAATGAAATCAGTAATCATTGACCAAGGGAACTTAATTCTTTGCAAAACAAGCATTATATAAATTGCGCTTGTATTTTTCTTCCAAGAATAATTTCTAAGATTCAGAATATTTATAGGCAGGCGTCCTCGTTTTTAATATTCTATAAAACGAATGCGTTATAGAATGCAGAATTATAAACGCTTGTTTGTGGCCGCAAACTAGCTATCACATGTGTGACAACCATGATTATCCAATCGTTTGCGCAATTTTCACTGTGATACCGTTTATATTCTGCATCAAATACCAATTTTCTTATGAATTACAACGATTACATGATAAGCCGTAGCACAATCCAAATAATGTTAAAGTTGTTTTCGTTTAATGAGTTATATATCGTATTGATATTCAATAACTTCCTATTATTTTTAAATAGATATAAGTACTCAAATACAAAATTTATGTAAGTATTATACAAAAAAATTTACTTTATTGCGTAAAAACAGATGTTTTCAGATTTCATTTACCTGGTTGGTCAAATATATTGCTATTATAAATAATTATGATTTCGAAATATCATGAACGATTTATACACAAAAGTTAGTCAAACAAGTTAAATTTCGAGATTTATATTAAAAGTGCTATGCGCGCACACACACACGCGCACGCACACACACACACGCGCACGCACACACACACACACACACAC